GGGTGCATGAAAAGGTGCGAAGTCCACTCATGAGATGCTCTCTGGAAAGCAGCAAGCTGCATTCCCCCAGTGTCTCTTGTTCAAGGCCCTACATCCCTCCTCCTGCTCTTCTTGTTCTTGCTTTTGCAGCCAGGATGGAAAGTGATGGTGTGGACAGGAGTTGCTCTCCCTCAAGAAACCTCCCACCGGGCTCAGCACCAGCACTGCCTTGCCAATGGGTCTCTGCTGCAGCTGAGAAAAACCTTTCCAAGCAGGGAAGCAGCTTCTGTGTGTGCAGGAGCCCATAACAACGGGACAGCCATCTGCGTGTAACCCAGGTCGATGCTCGTGGCCAGCTCTCTGCTTGCATGAGGAGGTTCAGCTCTAGCCATCTCCCTGGCCCAGGAATGACAAGACGTGAGACTTACATCCAAGCCAAGTGTGTGTACAAATCACAGGGAAGTTTTGCTGTTTGCCAAATGACACCACTCCTGCCTCAAAGCCCCTGGCAGCGCAGGTATAGGGTGGTGGTGAGTGAGGACAGGGCAGCTCTCGGTGCAGCAGCACACGACAGCTCTGGGCTCTTGGTGGGGAGATGCAAGTGATTTTGGCAAGTGGGGAACAGATGGAGGAGAAAATATGAGTGAAAGGGAAGGGAGTGGAAAGGTTACATTTAAAGGTTAACACTTGCCCCAGGAGTGAAGAGGCAAATGTCTGTGCTCTTAAATAGCATTTGCTGATGAGGTTGTCTCACAGCTATTTGGTTTGTTTTTTTTCTTAAAAGACCAATTATGTCCCTTTTTTTCCACTGTACTTGTTCACACCCCTGTTGAGCAGAGAGTCTGATGAACATCATTATGAGATGTCAGACCATCATCACCTTCCTGGTGCGGTAGCATTAGTTCTCACCTCCTACGCTCACTTCATTTCTTTAATACAGCAAGAAAAACCAGCATGACATGAGAATGAGATTGCAGCAGAAAAAGACTTTCCACTAAATAACCACAGTGTTTTGCCTAACCTCAGAATCAAACTGTCCCGTTCTTCCTGGTCCCTTACTTTCCTGAAAAGACAGATGAGGGGATTTCTTGTCCTACTAAATCACACACACGGAGTCCTGGCACATTGCTGCGACTGAGGAGCGCAGGGCTCCAGCACCGAGCAGGTAGGGTTGACCTGTCCCTTTCAGGCCCTGAGCCCATGATGTGCCAGAGGCTGACTTGTTCATGTCATATTTGCTTTATATCACCAAAAAGGGCTCAGCCTGAGCTGCACCCATCCCTTGGGCACAAAGAAGCCATGTCCATCACTGCCTGATGAGGTTGTCCCCCAGTCGCAACCAGCGGATACCCTGGAGCTCAGCACCAGTCCTTCACATCTAGTGGACTGTGCCAATCTCCCAGGCACCCCCCAAAGTCACAGGTAACTTTACACATCTGCAAAACATCAGCCATTGACACGCACAGGCTGTGCCACCACACAGCACTGGGAGGCAGAAGGCAGATTTTAACACAGGAGCAGGGGTGAAAAGTGGCCATGGTCCGGGATGGCTCTGACAGTTGTTTAACTCACATCCTCACCAAAAGTCCCTGTGCAATCACTGCTGCCATGGAGTCTCTTTCCCAACACACAAGGCGATGAAAGGACCCATCCTCCTCCATGGGAAAAGTTGATGGGTGTCAGGAAGTACCTCTGGGAAGGTAAAAGGGTGACCAGAAGGTGTCTTATTAACCACCAAGCAACTTCCTCCCTGCTCGGTGGCTGCGCTCTGTGCTGGCAGGACCAAGGTGGTGGCAGTGATGGCCGAGCCCAGCTATCTGCAGGAGATACCATGGAGCAGGCAGAAAAGCTCCATCACCCTGATCTGCGCTGGTGGTGAGCAGGGAGAGAAAGATGCTGCTCCTCTGGCCTTTTGCTGAGCACAAAGGGGAGATGGGGGGATTTGCTGGGCTAAAACCACTGCAGATGTGACAGCTGTTTTGTGGGCTGCAACGATACCTGCTCAAGAGGGCTGTGCTCACCACAAAGTTAACCAGAGTCCTGCCCCTCTGTTAAGCCTTTAAGAGTAAAAGGTAAAGGCTGAAAGCAAGGTGTTTGATTTTTCAGCTGATACGAGGGATGCAGAATAGCAGCCCTGGGTTGTGCCTCACCCCCTTGTGTTTCCCCTTTCAGGTCACAGGAAACAAAGGTGCAGCTCTTTGCTCTGCAGGACACTGGACCATGGTTGCAGCTGCACTGGGCACATGGCACAGCCCCATACTTGAGTGCATCCTTGGGGAAGCAGCAGCCAGCAGCTGACCCAGGCCAGCGATGCTGCTGTTGGCTTGCTCCTCCCAGGCAGCCCAGCATCCGTAGCCTGGGTTTCTGGTGAGATATGAACTTTTCTCTGGAAAGTTTCAGGGGAAATGAAGTGGCCACTTTGAGTCAATTTGAGAGCCAAACACCCTTTGCTTGTCAGAGACCTGTGGGAAAGTGCCCTGCAAGATGCCTCCTGCATCCCTGCAGCACCCCTGTGGCATCCCTCCTGCAGCCCTCCCATGTTTCTGCACCATCCCTGCAGATTGCCTGCAGCATTCCTGTGGCATCCCTCCCGCATCCCTGCAGCATCCCATATTCTTCCCACATTCCTTCCACCTCATCCTGTGGGAACTTCAAGAGGTTGTGGGGATGGAGAAGTGACCACATGCACCTGGGGCCATGAGGGTGGCAGGGAGGCAGCAGAGCACAGATAGCACTGAGGACCAGGTGGTTTATTGCAGGGTTTCAGCATCACCTCCGAGCCCGTGCCCCAGGTTGGTGGTGGGGCTGTGACTCCACTGTGGAGGTAGTGCTCTGCTGGGGGTGTGGAAATGGTTGAGTTCTGCTGCTGATGCTGAGAACAGGAGGTTAAAGAGCTATCTGAATGTGTGCCCTTGTTGAATGGTGCCCATGCTGCACAGAGGGTTTTTTGATGACTGTTTCCAAAGCAGATGGAGCACTTTTCTCTCTATTAAAAGCCAAATAGATCAGGAATTGATGAGGTGAATGATGAGAAGCAGCTGAACCTTTTCTCACTGCAGCTCAGGCTTGTTTCCAGCACAAAATGTTTAAAGAGCTGAAAAGGAGACTGAAAAACCGTCTCTTACTAAGCAGCAATTGCCAAGGCAGTTCTGGGTAAGTCCACCTAGTCACATGCTGGGAAGAGAGATGGTTGGGAGCTGCCAGATGTCAGGATCCCTCACTGGTAGCAGTGGGGACTCTGGGCTGAGCTACATAGAGCAGTTAGGGTTGGAAAGGACTTTAAGATCATCAAGTTCCAGCATGAAGACGAGTACAAGGACAGAAATGCTGAGGAGCAGCCCGCGTGCATCTGCAGTGCAAGGGGAGAGGAGGGGCAATGGGAAGCCAAAGGTGGTGCTGGGAGGAAGCAACCGCAGATTGGGATGCTGAAGGCAGGCGTTGATGAAACTGGGCCCTGGGCAGATCCCTGAGGTCAAGCTGAGCCTCTTTGTCTTCTTGCTCTGCTGTTGCCCAGCCCCAGTCTCTGCCTCGGGCCAGAGTCTGAGCTGCCTGCGTCACTGCTGAGCTGGCTGGGTCCCAGCAGCTTTGCCAGGGCCCCTTTGGAAGCAGCAGCTCCATAGCAAACGTGGGCAGGTGTCCAACCATAACACACAACGCATTGCGACATCGCATACAGGATGCTGAGAGGCACTGTGGCATGTCAGAGCTCCTTCCTCTTGGAAAACAGCCCCACAAGGAGGCTCATGAGCACCAGCCATCCCCATACTGTTCTTTTGGTCATACAATGGCTGTTGCAGCCACGGCACACTGGGTGGCATGGAAACTTGGCTTTCACAAGTAGGTCTGAAAGCTTTTCATCTGGTGCTGCTGACATAATAATAGGTGCTTGAAAAAAACCTTGTTTGATTGAGCAACCAGATTTCTAATCCTCTGTGTAGGTAACTCCACTCTGCACTAAGGAACCTGACCTGGGGGACAATCTGGTCCAACCTGTCACTGAGGAGCTTTACTTTGAAAGCAAAATGCCGGTTTGATTGAGTGGAAACATTGCCTGCAGTGGAAGGATTAATGACTAATCATGTTTTTTTCATTAATTCTAACTCTAGTGCTTTCACTTTCAGCAGAAGTTTCATCTAATGATAGTATGAAACAATTACCTAGAGATCAGCACCATCTCCAGTGCTCTGAGACTGAGGGATGCAACAGGCATTCTCAGGCAAGTCTGTCTGGCTCAGGTAGTCTGGAGGGGCAGTAGAAGGTCCTCATCACTAACATCAGACACTGCACTATGGGTTAACAACCGAGGACCAGAAGTTCATAGATTTCAGTAAACATAGTTTTTGATTTGGGATGAAAAGCGTTGCCACAGGGGAAATACAAGCAGCTACAGCTTCACGGCAATGAGTGGCATTTATTCACTTGGAATCAGTATCAGTCTCAAAAGACAGAGGTGACTGTATCACTCAGATTTAACAACATGTCTTTACGTAATCTCTTGACATAATTTTAAATGTATGAAATCATAGAATCATGGAATGGTTTGGGTTGGAAGGGACCTTAAAACTCATCCAGTTCCAACTCCCTGCCATGGGTAGAGACACCTTCCACTAGAGGAGGTTGCTCCAAGCCCCATCCAACCTGGCCTTGGTTTACAACATTTACATTTAAAAAGATAAATTGGAGAAAAGCTGAAATCTAGGTGAAGCCTTTAAGTTTACAAAATAAATCCCCCCCCCAAATCTATGAAGTAGTCTGATTTTTAAGCCTTTTTTAGAAGGCTGACATCAGTGAAGGGCCCTGCAAACTGCAGTTCCTGGTAGTATTTATTTTCTGTTGGTTGTGTAATATTTGTATGAAGTACTGCAATGCTTTAAAGAAATGTTTTCCTCAACTTCTGCATTGTTGGCAGTTTCCCATAGTAAGAAAATAGTTGTGGTTATAGTGCAAGAATTGCCTCAAGAGAAAATGCTAAACATAATTTATTAAAGAAACATTTTTCTAGTACTTATAAATATTTTTCCTTCATCAATGGACAAGCAGGTCTGTGAGGACAGACCGACTGTCATGTCAATGCACTTTTCTTGTGCTCAGATGTGGGAAGTACACGCCGTACATGCCTTGTTGAACCTGGTAGAGATGTGACTTTCTTCTTAGGCAAAAGACAATCTGGTGGGAAAAGAACGTTAATGGTAAAACGCGAGTCTGAAGCTTGCCCTTCATGAGATGCCCCCAGACCACGTTGCCAGGTGGTGATGGAGGGACTCTATGACTAAGACACTTGTCTGAAGCTGCCTAGGCAAACACTAGCACAACCCTCAGTTTTGAATCCGAGTTTTTTCCTCTCCTAAATCTTGCTGTCATTTTTAATCCTGAACCTCTAAGGGCAGTAATCCATGTCCTGTGTAGGGTTAGCTGTTCTCTCCTAGCTGTTGCAAAGCAAACAAAGCTACTGTTGAAATGGTGCTATTAAGATGCTGCTCCCCACCAAATCAACACTAGAGATCAGAAGAGGATCTGCCCTGCAGCTGGAGCACGGCCCCACGAGGCTGCTACAGTCTGTATGTTAAGAGCACTGAATACAAAATTCAGGCTGTGATCCCTGCAGGTTACTAAAACCATTGTCTACGCTCCCTCACCTCTAACCAGATCATTCTTCAGACAGTTGAATAGGGAAGAGGTTTAAGAAATGCAGGAGATCCCCTAATTCAACCTGCTTGTCATCTTGCTGTTGGCCTTAACTTTGAGTATATATTTTTCTCTCGTCATAGGGATCCACTTCCCTTCTAGAAATCTACTTAGCTGACTATAAATACCCTTCCCCATCCTCCTGTGCACAAGTCCTTGAAAGAGCTGGCAGGAACGGAAGGAGGATTTGGCATGCCATTTGCTGAGCACGTCAGGTACTGCTTCCAATTGGGCTTCCTGTGGATGTGTCTGAACGTCCCTCCTGCAACTCCCCAGGTGGCTGGGCACTGCCAGAGCCGTTAGAGGTAGGGCAGCAGAGGAACCACTTACCAGGAAGCATAACAAGAGGAGGAGAACGAAGCCAAACAGGATGGAAATGCAGATGAGGATAATTGCCCAGAACTGTAGCCCTGCAAAGGCAAAATAAGAGCACATCAGGTTTTTTTGCACAACTGTACATAGGACACAGAGGGAGATCTTGCCCCAGCCAAGTTCAGAAGTACTCTACAGTGCACAGGTGAGGCAATAGTGCTGAAAGAGTGTTTGGTCTCCCCTGGCTGCAGGGAAATGTGCCCCAGCAATGACAGGTTGGGTGGGACATAAAGAAACTTTGATTAAATGGAGTGAGGGTCTAAGGATAGAATCATAGAATCATACAATAGTTATGGTTGGAAGGGACCTTAAGATCATCCAGTTCCAACCCCCCTGCCATGTCAGGGACACCTCACACTAAACCATGCCAGCAAGGCTTTGTCCAACCTGGCCTTGAACACCACCAGGGATGGAGCATTCACAGCTTTCTTGGGCAACCCATTCTAGTGACTCACCACACTCACATTAAAGAACTTCCTTCTTATATCCAATCTAAACTTCCCCTGTTTAAGTTTTAACCCATTACCCCTTGTCCTACCGCTACAGTCCCTAATGAAGTGTCTCTCCCCAGCATCCTTATAAGGCCCCCTAAAGGATCTACAACTTTAAATGTCACCTCGGTGTGTGTCAGAGCCCTCAGATGGTTTCAGAGAGACAAAATTCTCTCTTAGCTGCTGGATAGACCCTTTTTGGGAAGGGGACAGGGCTAAGGTTGTCAGCAAAAGCTGAAATTACTTTAGTCAGCGTGTTTGTGGTGCATGGGAAACCAACTGAGAGCTTGTGTTTCCTTCTCCTGTTTACTGTTAGCTCTGGGGCTGTGGCTATGCTTGTGACACTGCACCTGGATCTCTTGTAAATACTGCAATTCTAAACAAACTTTTGTGCCAGACCTTCAAAACAGCTTCCCAAATTGTATTGCTTTTGCCTGTCCTCAGGCTGGCTGGCTCTGATGGTAGCTTGCTGTTTGCTGCCAGCCTAACCAGGAGTAAGCTTCTGGGCTCTTGCATGGGTCTAGTCTCCATTTCAAGGTATGTGATGCTGATTTCCTGTAGTTTAAGTATTCCCTATTCCCAAAAACCACTTACCAGATCTTTCAGGCTGTTCATCTGTCTTGACTGGAGAGTAACCTGGAAATTAAGGGTAGGACAGGTGAGAAACAGAACACTCTAGAGGTGTTTGAAACAAAACTAATAAGCATTCCCACAGAGTAACTGCAGGAGCTCTCACCCTCAACAACCAAACTCTGCTCTTCAAGCTCATAGCTGGGGCCCAGCTTGGTGAATCCATGTGTCAGGTGTTTCAGCTCCTCATACACCTCTTGCTTTTGCAAACCTCTCGAGAAAGGGTCGGGTGTGAGCGTGCAGATGGAGGCAACACTTGTGTAAGTCTTCCCACTGACAGGCCTGGGGGATGACAGCCAGAGTCATCAATGTGAGAGAAGAGAAAAATAGAGCAGGGTAGAGGCAGGGAGAAGGATTCAGAATCAGGCTCAGGTTTGCAGATGTCTAAGCAGTGCTTTATTAGCATGGGATTAGTTTCTGCAGTTTATGCTGGATGAGACAGGGACTCCTGCAGCCTTGTGAAATCAACCACTGATTTAATCCCAGGTAAGGCATTTTGAAGAGGGTGAATCAGCTCTGCTTTTTTTTCTTCCTCTAAAGAGGTGTTGGAGAAGACACACAGAAGTAGAGCTCGTTTTCAGGCTGGTCAGTTCTGCTGATTGTTTTGCTAATGTGTTTATTCAAATAAATTAAACGAGAATGAATGTATTTGTTTTACTTTGGAATCATTTATGCATGACAATGGATCTGCTAACATGGAAACTAAACCACCTCTCTTTTGACAGGAACCTTTTGTGGTAAAGAAAGAACTGACAGAGGGACTAAAGATGCTTCCCCTGTGTCATCCAGAGCACACAGGTTAGTAACCAGGCATAAAGACCATGCTGTGGCTCCTAATGGCTCTTCCGCTAACTGCTCTTTCGGGACTCAAATAGGACTTACCCAAAGCTCTCAAGGGTACAGCCAGCAAAGTAGTCCTGCAGGCTGCTAGTTCTGAGTACATCAAGCTGATGGGAAGAAACAAAACAATGGGGGAAAATTGAGTAAATTTAATACTCAATTTGGACATGGAAACCAAGGAATTGCTGTTAGTTTTACCTCTTTCTCAATTTTCTCTTTGTTCACTTGGTACATCTGTGACCTGGAGTCCTGCAGTTCCGGGGAGTAGGGAAGGTTGGAGATTCTGAAACTTAATCTGAACTTTTCTTCCTTGGTCTTGAGGGGTGTTTCATAAGTTGCTGGCTCAATTGCTAGTTCCAAGCCTGGAAATTAAGAGGAGAAGTTAGTGTAAAATCTAGCAGAAAGAAACAGAGGCTTTTGTATCATGCAGCATTTGACCTGTGGGCTTCTAGCTAGGAAAACTTGCACAGGAATCTCAGCTAATTCCCAGTCTACCCTTTGAATCAGTTCTTCATCAATGTAGTAGGCCATTTATTTCTGTTGTACATTTGAAAAGAGCTGAAAGTCTTTATCTGTAAATGCCTGAGTTATGGTGAGTAGTTACCACTTCCTTTTCTTATTTGAGTAACACCTTAAGCCACTGAGGACCAAAGGGCTACACTGAATCAGACTGAAGGACTTGCCTAAGGCAAAGGGCTCTGACCTGAGTCCAGTGACTCAACTTGGTAACAGATTTATTCCCACACACATGCTTCTGATTGACCAGAAGTTGAGGAATTGTGAATATGCTATGCCAAAAGGGGGTGATCTAGGTGGAAATTGGGCAGCTGTGATTTGAGATGTACGTACTGTCTACTGAGAACCCTTGCAGCTGGTAACTGCTTCCCAGCCATAGTCCGGTTGCATTCGAAGTGCTGTCCTGAAAAACCCTTTCAACAACAGCTCTGTTGATGTTGGGTGCTGACTGGAAGAAGCACTTGCAGTCGACCACTATGGATCCAGCCCTGTAGACAGAAAAAAAAACAGTTTCTGAGGTAAATATCCTGGTGATTATGAAACTTCTTCATGTGGGAAAGGGTTTCCTGGAGGGTTCCTGCTATTGTAAGTGTTTTAAGCTAATGTGGTGCTACTGGGAGATGTGAAACATATTATTTGGAGGTTTTTCCCTTTGACAGGAACAGCAAATGAAATACCACTACCTCTTCCCTCTGCAAACTTGGGTTATACTGCAAGCATACAGTAAGATCGGCACTTTTTAAAGCCTTTACCTGAGTAGGTAGAGTAGGACAATACAGCTGTACCTGAAGCTCACATTTAAAAGCTAGCAGAATCCAAGTTGAAAGGAAGAATACAGGGGCTGCAGGGTCCTCATGAAGAGGATGCCAATCAGTAGTTACAGCAATCCTGACTGAGACTGAGAAAAATGACAGCCCATACCAAGTCAGGAAAAAGTCAAACTGACACATTCTGGGAAGCCTGGAAATGACTTCTTAAGGCATAAACTAAACCATTTCCAACATGAGAATGGAAGGGAGGAATTCTGCAGGGGATAATGACACTTGACTACTGGGGAATGGTGCCAGGGTGTGGCAACCTTTCAAACAAGATCAGATTGTATTGCAGACCTCAGCCTTGTGATACTGCAGTTCAGGAACTGGTCTTGCAGGTTGCTCTGACGGTACAGCTGATTCACCTAAAATAAGAATGTCATGTTAAAGATTAAAGAGTTCTGGGCCTTATGGTAAATGCTTTAGGACAGCAGGAGGGCCTCTAACTTTGGAGAAACACCAGATTTTTGCACAATTTTTTTGCTAGTTGGATTTCATGAGAGTTGGTTTTCACTTCAGTTTATGCCTTCTGGTGATGGAGTCTGACTTCCAGCTTGGCAAGCCTTTTTGCCTTATCTAAGCAAGCTGCCAGTGTTAAACAGCACAATCTGCTGACTGACAGCTGTCATTTTGATCGACATTTCACAGACAGCACAGACTCAGAACTCGAAGTATGGGATGTTACAGCTTCATCTAAAAAAGCAAAACCTACTCCATTAGGGCTTTGTCAGGTTCATATGGTGGCCAATCGGTGCTGAAGAGAGCGTGCTGGATTCTGAGCAATAAATTATATATATGTGCTGTCCTCTGAGCTTGCAGGGATTTGTATACACTTCAGGAGATGGGATTGAAATGCTGAGTGCATGTAACAGATCTCCTAAACCTCTTGCATTTTGCAGCGCATATATTTGGCTGGAGAAATATTTTAAGACCACATGTAACCTAACAAATCAAAAGTAATTCTAAGGCCAATCTCATGTTTTAGAGTCTAGAAACTTTTGTTCCCAAGTGTTGATTGATGCATTTTTCTAATTAAGGCATAAACCTATGACAGCTTCTGTAAAAATTGACCAGTACAGACATCATAGTATTTGAGCTGCAGCTCCTTACCTTGTTACTGATGCTTTCCATTGCTGCTTTGTATTCTGGAGACTGAGAGTCTGGGTTAGTTAGGTTTTCATTGACTATTTTAAAGGTCAAACTGTAGCCTGATTGGGCTGGAGCTTCAATCAAGATGGGCTTTCTGGCCATAGCTGTGTCTGTGAGGGAGAAATCTAAATAGAAAAGGTAGAGTGCATTTATTTTTACATCAGATCCATCCATATCACAAAAGTAATATAGGTATATGACAATTAAATTCTCCAGGAATTGTATGATTTAAGGCACAGAAATGCTTCTAGAATGGCAGTATAATGCTGTATTGGTTTTGTCAGTGTCAAAACCTACAGAACAGCAGCAAACTATAGGGGAAGTACATCAAGCCCCAGTGGAGTGGAAGAGTGACCTCCATGTAATCCCAAAACCGTAGCTTGATACTGTTCATGGATTCTCACCGTTGATGTACAGGCTGTTCTTCTCCAGGCTGTAGTGCCCCAGCCTGGTGATGCCATTTGTCATGGTGCTGAGCTCATGATAAACCTTTTCTCTGTCAAACGTGGCAAGACTGGCATTGTTGTTGTAGCTGCAGACAGCGTCTATGCCTGTGTCATCCCTGTGTCTCCCAGACCTAAGTAAAAGTCAGACATGCTCTTTAGGACACTGCTGATGTTTACAGAACACCCTGTGCAATTTGTATGACTAGAAACAACTAGAATCTTACCTAAATCTCATCACTTTACATCCTGTGTAGACAGAGCTTATGCTGCTGCTTTTGAAAAGACGGTCAATCTGTAAATAAAACAAACGCAAAAGGTGCAACTAAGAATTTGAAAGCATGTCCCAAGTTTAATGCATTCGGATTAAGTTCATCACCATAACACAAAATGGCAAAACCAGAGCCAGACTCACATAATAGTTGATAACTTTTGCTGTGGAAGTGAATTTGGGGGAGCTTGGTGCATCCAGATCTGCCGTGTACTGCAGGTTGGTCAAGGTGAAATTCAGTGTGAATAGCCTGGATGTTGGTCTCAGTGCAGTGGTTATGCTCAGAGCTATAATCAAAGGGGAGAAGGATTATGATCATGGTATAAAAAAAGTTAGCTTCACTTTCAAAGACATTCCAAATCCTAGCCCAGTTCAAGACACTCTGAAGAATCCCTTCCCCTCCTATTTTCTGAGTGTACCACTCCTTAGACGCTTTTCCCTGGAATAAGTTTGGCAAAACACTTACATGATCTCTCAAGTGGCTCAGTGTAACCTGGAAAGGAAACGAACAAGAAGCACTATGTAAGAGAACTATACACTTAAGGGGATGCAAGAGAAGAGGGGATGACTTGGGAATGAATCATCAGAACCAGTCCCTGAGGGTGTGAATCTATTAAACAACCCACTGCTTAAGCAGAACAAGGTGCTTTTATAAAAGTGATGGCTACAAAGAGAAAATGTATGTGCCACTGTTTAAATACTGGAGGGAGAGAAACTGGGTGATAAGTTGATATGCAGGTGAATGACTGAGGTCAAGACTAAAATAAAGTAACTCTTCAATGTCATATAAATATTGAATTTTTTAAAAATACCTATGTGAAAATGCTCTTGGAAGTATACACTTCACCTTATGTACATAACTAAGCTACGCAGTAGAATGCAGTGAGACTACCTATTCCTTAAGGTCACTTTTTTTACCTTGAAGTGATCCCTAAGACCTGAGGTGGTCTCAAACTCCTCTGTTGCCTGGAGGAATGAGAAAATCAAGCACTTACCATTGATATAGAGGCTCTTGTTGTCCAGGTTATAGATTCCTAATTTGGTGATGCCATTTGTCATGTTCTTTAGTTCTTGGTAAACCTTAGTTTGGTTGAACTTGGGCACTTGGGAACCATTTCCATAGCTGCAGATGGTGTCTACTCCTGTGTTATCCCTATTCCTCATTGACCTGAGGAATTGAATATCATGAGGCTTGTGTTAGTCATTTAAAAAATCTGGGATTTGTGTTTTGGTTTGGTTCTTTTTTTTTTGTTTTAGGTTTTTTGTCTTTTTTTTTGTTGATGGTTTGATTTTCATCAGAAGAACAAAACCAAACCAAAACCAAACAAAACATCCCAAAACTCTTAATCTGTCCATGATTCTCAGACGAGCTGCAGAAATCACTGAGATACAGTATTACAAAGAATACCAAGCTCTTGACAAAGGAAAAGAACTGTTATTAAAGTGTTAGCCAAACATAAGGAAATCAATTTTCTCAAGTCGCAAGTTAATCTTTCAGATATATTGCTTACCTGAATCCTGTTACTTTGCAGCCAGTGAAATAGGGACCAATGCTGCTCTTCTGAAGCAGGGGATCAATCTGACAAGGAAAGGTCTTTGTGAGAGTGGGAAACCCAAAATACTGGGTGATTTCAGGGAAAAACAATGTGACTTGGGCTTACATAATGTTGCATTATTTTCTCAGTAGATCTGAATTTAGCAGAACTTGGTGTCCTTAGGTCTGTTGTGAACCTGAGGTTGGTTATTGTGAAGTTCAGTGTGAATTGCTCTATTATTGGTCCTGGGCTTTGTGTGGTTGTTGACTTTGCCACTGTAAGAACAAAAATTACACAGATAAAATAAGAGCAGGATCTTTGTAAGACATAGTATACTCATTATCTTTCATCAAATTTAGAGCAGAAAAACATATGAACATGATAGCAAACTTCAGACACTCTGCAATCTTATAAGCATTGCCAAACTGAGGGAAACAAAATCACCTTATGCCTCTGAGTAGCTTTAGCATGTATCTGTTTTTAAATATACTTACATGGCAAACTATGCAGCTCATTGTAATCTGAAAAAACAAACGGACAATTATTAGGTATATGTTCAAAGAATATCTCAGAAGGACTAAACAAATGGGGTTTTATCACAGAAGATCAGGAATTGTTGCTAAATTCATGACTGTTTTAACTTAGTGATTCGGGCAGGGTCTTTTTTTTTTCCCCTCTACTTTATCGGTTTTGAGGGGTGCATTTAACCTTCATTCTCATTTCAAAATACTCTGTGTCAACATATGGAATAATGCCTTGAGGTGATCTCATTACCATCAATGTAGAGGCTCCGGCTGTTAAGGCTGTAGTGTCCCATCTTGGTGATGCCATTTGTCATATTGCTCAGCTCATGGTAAACCATCACTCTGTTGAACTCGGGATCTGAAGGCTCATCTCTGTAGCTGCAGGTGGCATCTACTCCTGTGTCATACTTGCTCTTCTTTGGCCTAGGAAATGAGGCACTGGTTTAGGATATTTTAGCTATTATTCAGAAGTCCATCTTAACTTTTAGTATATGATCAAACACGTCTATTAAAAAACCCCTCAGATGTATTGAATGCTGAAAAATTGAAAGCACCTTTTTAAGAAGCAGGAAATGCAGACTTTTCCCAGACGTGGCTCTTACCTGAATGCCATTATTTTGCAGCCAATATAAGCAGGGCCAATGCTGCTTTTTTGGAGTAAAGGGTCAACCTAGAAAAATGAATAATATTTAAGTAAAATGTCATGAAGAAGTAAGAGATTAGAGTTATTAAGAGAACTGTGCCCAAACAGGCCATCATTTTGCCAGACTTACATAATAATACATGACTTTTTCTGTTGACTTGAATTTTTTAGAGTTTGGCATTGCCAGATCTGCAGTGAACTGGAGGTTGGTTATAGTGAAATTCAATGTGAAATTCCTTATTGCTGGTGACAGAGGTGGTGTACTTGAATCAACAGCTGTAACAAGCAAGGCAAATTATTGCTTGAGAACACAATTTATCATCATCATTGCTAGAGGAAACACTGTAAATAAAACTCTCAGATATTCTAGTTGACTAGATATAGTCTAGTTGACTAGGTCATAGCAGCTGCAGCTCCCTAACAGGCTCTAAAATTCTCTTAATGCTTTTATAAGTAGTGCTCTTCATTAGTCCAACCTTCTTTTCCAGCTATTGCTAACTAGCAAAATCTTCTTCCCCTTTCAATTGCTATTTAAAGGTACTTACACAGTCCAGGCTGAAGTTCATTATAACCTGTGGGGGAAAGAAAAGACGCAGAGTTTGAGAAACTGGCTTACAGCTTGCAAGGTCTGGCACACAGCAGAATAGAGAACTTCAATTGTTTTTGTCTGAAGGATGGTGTGCAAACATTTACTGGGGAAAATTGATGACTTTCTCGGTGTAAATGGACATTCATGCTGTTGCTTTTCTTAGCAGCGCAAAGAATTTTCCCTTCCCTAGAGATGTTGAGAAGGAATTTACCTGCTCCCCAAATCCAATTTAACTTTTACATCGACAATGTAAGTATGACTTTGGTGTACTTGTGTCCAGTTCTAGTGCTGTTGTGCAGAGGAGCACATTTCATAGTGTACCCTGGGAGGTCAATCCTTAAATTTTCTTGAGAGTGACCTGTGGTGTACTATGGTATATTGTATTTGGCTAAGTTGAAAGGAATAACAAAGTGCAAAGGCTTTGAGGGACAGTGGGTCCTCTGCTTTGGTTAACCCTTCTACTTGCTCTTTCTCCAGGTTTTATTGCTTCTGTAGTTATGTAGCATCTCTATTCCTCTTAATATTAAATCAGCAGTCAGAAGATGATTCCCTCCTGACATCAGCTCGCACACTTACCACTAACATAAAAGCTTGCTGCATCCAGCCTATATGGTCCTAGCTCAGTGCAGCTGGCTGTCATCTTGCTGAGCTCATGATAAACCTTGATTCGGTCAAATTCAGTAGTGGTAGCGTTGGCTCTGTATGTGCAGACTGCATCCATGGCAGTGCCCTCTGTGTTATTCACAGACCTGAAAAATGACACGTTTATGGGCCTGAAGGATACTTCTGTGCGTTTGCTTGAGTTTGCTTGCACACTACTGTGGTTTTGGAATACACTTTAAAATACTGTAAAACAGTGTTGTTAAATGAATGATCTCAAATATAAGGAAGGAGTTCTTTACTGTGAGGCTGGTGAGGCACTGGAATAGGTTGCCCAAAGAAGTGGTAAATGCTCCATCCCTGGCAATGTTCAAGGCCAGGCTGAACGGAATCTTGGGTGACACAGTTTAGTGTGTGTTGTCCCTGCCCATGGCAGGGGGGTTGGAACTTGATGATCTTAAGGTCCTTTCCAACCCAAACCATTCTATGATTCTATGAAATTCTGGAAATTTAGTATTTTGCTGTTTTACATAATTGTAATTCTAACTGAAATGTATTTAGAATTAGTCAGATTACCCTCTTCATATAGTACGAAATTGATGTGAAATCAATGCAAGCATAATTAGAGGAAATTATGTAATAACTACCCAATACAAGGGATCACAAATGAAGTGTAATTCTACTTGGCACTCATTAGAACTTAACAGTCTCTACTGGTCTAGAAGGAAACAAAATCAGGAAGAAATTATAAGTAAAGGAAAGATTTGTGCATAAACCTATTGTCAGCTAAAATTTGATTTGCCCTTGTCTTCTATAAGAGTTCCAGGATGTGCCTACCTTAGTACCACCACTGTACAACCAGTATAGACAGGGCTAAGGCTGCTGTTCTTGAGCACACGATCAAGCTGCCAAAAAAGAAAAGCCAGTTGATAAGTCACAGGGAATAAATAATAAAAGCAAGAACGTAGCCACAAGAAGAACCTGGCTGACACTCACCAAGTATGTCAGAGTCTTTTTGGCAGCAATGAATTTTTTGGAATTTGGATTTCCTAATGCTGATGTGTAGAGGAGATTGGTCGCAGTGAAGTTCACTGTGAAATGTCCTTCTCTTGCAGGAGGAGGAGCTGGAGATGCTGCTGCAAGAAAAGTACAAAATTTTTTGCAACAAGTAAAGAAATACTCATGAACCTGCTAAAGCCAGGGATAAAGAAGCTCCTATCAGGTGGCATGAATGGGTACCATACTGAAGAGCTCACTATGGAATGATGCCAGCAAAAGCATAGAACATATAGCTGAAGAGCAGATGAGGGCTATGCAGCTCACCCACATTCCTACAGAAGACCAGTCTTAGATGAGCAGGCTGTAAACAGGTACCTGACTGCTACAGATGAGGAGCTGAGGTAATCTCCTTCTCCCCTTTTATCCTGGTGTGTGCAAACCCTGATGTCCTTTAATCACACTGGAAAACGTCTAGCTTTTTCAACCTCAGATTCTTTTCACTTGCAGTGGTGCTATTGGAAAAGACTGAACTGCGTGTCACCATCAATTACGCTCCAGCCTTCCAAGAGTGCAATTCTGTGTTTCTGCAAACAGGTGCCCTCACACAGTTTCCCCCTATTAATTGTGGTCTAATTCAAATGCTTCATGAGACATGAATAGCAATGGTGCTTAGTAGTTAATTCCTCTCTTGTTAGATGTTTGTGCCTTATTTTTACTTCTAGTTCCATTCAAAGGTCAAAAAGAGAAAATATCTGGATATCATGATTTAACCCCAGCTGGCAACTAAGTACCATGTTTTCATCTCTATTTTATATATTGACACATAGGGCATTGTGGCTTTTTAATTACTCAAAGTACTTACAAGGCAAGAGATGGGCTTCATGGTAATCTGAAAGGAGAAAGGACAAAAGTAGTGAATTGAATTGGATATCTGTATAAGGGAATGATGCCACAGAAGGACAACAGATTTGCTGTTTCTGAGCAGTCACTACAACTATTTATGGTAGTGCAGCGAGGTGTCATTTTGAAGAAACCTCTGTCGTAAATGGTGGAGGAAGCCTCCAAATTTATATTGAAATTAGTTGCCTTTACTTCTTTTAAGGTTTATATGCTGCTTTGCATGTTTTGGTAATTTATCAGATACTAAAAAAAACCAAAACAAACCTGCAACTGACAAAGCAACACCCCTGAAGGTAAATGTGCTTAGTGTGAGAAGGTGCAAATGATGGCACATTGTGAACTACATAGCACATAGGTTGAGTCCAAGAATACGTGTTGCAAATGCTATTCCATTTGCACACTAGTCATTACTGTGCTTTAACTACAAGACAGTTATGGACTATTAGGCAAAGAATATCCCCACATTCAGATGGAAATCAGCTCTTTACCATTAATATACAGGCTTTCCTGGTCAAGGCTGTAGATTCCTAAGTTGGTGATGCCATTTGTCTTGTTGCTCACTTCACGGTAAACAGTCACTCGATCAAACTGGGAAGCAGCAGAATCTGTTTTGTAGGTACACATAGCATCTACTCCGGTGCCTTCAGTTTTTGGTGCAGGTCTAGGGAAATAAGGATGGATAGTGTTCTGTTCCAGAATTCAATAGTCATGATACATACTGGGTTTTCTTAATTATTATTTAATTCAACCATATTGCCAAGAAGAAGAGAAAATGTATTGTTTTTTTCCTTGTGAAAGCATACTTGATCTTTCAGATGCTGAAGATATGCATTCAAGTAAATTTATGAAGACATAGTTGAAAAAAAGTGTAATGATTTCTTGGATTCCTTGAATCAAGTGATAAAAGGTGTAGAAGTGAAATAAGGGATTAGGATCCATTTGTGTATTATACTAGACCATGAAAAGGAAAAATCTATTTTCTTAATCTGAATTATGCTTACCTGAAAGCCATCATTTTGCAGCCTGTATACACAGAATGAATACTACACTTCTGGAACAGCTGATTGAACTGAAAAAGAATGAGGTCAGAAGTTAATCATATTTAGTTGAGCACAACATCACAAAGAAAAAAATACATAGAAATGTATCACACTAACCAGAGCAATCAAGACTCTTGCTGTAGCATTAAACTTGGCAGAATATGGATTGCTGAGACCACTGGAGTACTGGAGATTAGTTATGGTGAAATTCACTGTGAACTTCCCAGTTCTTGGAGATGCAGCTGTGGCTGGAAGCAAAATCCAGGGAAAAGTGCATAACAGAATGGAATTTCTTCATGTTATCTTTATTCTACAGTCAAGGGGTAAAACAATCCGGAGACTTAACATAGATGTAATATATTACTTTTGGGGAAAAAAGAACAAACAACCCACTATTACCATTAGACAAGGTATGGCAGACACTGATAATTACATGTGATACTACTAGTTTCTATAAACATTATAAAGAATTTAATAGATTTACCTGGCAAAACAAGTCCTTCATTGTATTCTGAAAAGCAAAGATCAAAGATACAAAAAATAAGAGAGGAAAAAATAAACCCCCAAAAATCACAACAAAAAAATGGAGAAAAAGTTAAAATTTAAAATAAGTGTAAAAAAATAAAGTATAATCCAACAACATTAATATTCTTATTTTAATACAAAACCATAAAAAAGAATAAGGAATAATGTGCCAGTATGAGGCATAACCTAAAAAAAGCTGTGAGAAAAAGAATTCAAGACCTGTGGACACAAAGCACAAAATCTTAAAAAAGGAAAGTTCCTTAATACCTGAATATATCAAGAAATTACCTGAAAATGCAAAAAAAACCAACATTAAGCAAACAAACAAACCCCCTGACCCAAGCAAAAAAAAAACCAAAAACAAACCCAACAAAACCATAAAAGAAAAATACAGAAAAGACAAACTAGGTTCACCATTGATATAGAGGCTGTCCTTGTCGAGGCTGTAGGGACCCAGCTGAGTGATGCCTCTGGTCTTGTTGCTCACTTGGTGGTAGAGGCCCACCCTGTCCAAGGTCGGGTCTGAGGGCTCCTTTCTGTAGGTGCAGACGGCATCCACCGCTGTGCCATCTGCTTGTGTCATGGGCCTGGAAAACACAGCACCGAACTGAGCACCCTCCTCTGTAACTCCTCGCTGCAAGACCAGGCCTTGGGGATTTCACAGGCATTCCTGCTTGGGAATCACATCTCTGCCTTCATAACATGTGTACATGGCAGCCAGGCACTGCTCTCTGTCTGTGCTAACTCCTTGGGGCTGTGAAGGATGGAGACAGCAAAGAAGGGCTTTACACTTCTTGGGACAAGACTGTCACACCTCTGAGGTGGGAGGACCAAATTCCAGGGTATGAACTAAACCAGAAGAGCATCAGGGAATTTGCTCTAAAGCAGGAGAGCATCAGGGAGCAGACCTGGGTTCCTAAATAGAGGCAGGAAGAGGGAAAGATATTGATGGGCCCCATCATCAGACCTAGGGACATGCAAAGGCACACTCAGCCACACTTCAAACCTGAAAGCTGTCTTTTCACATCCAAGGAAAGCGGGGCCAATGCTGCTTCCCTGCAGGAGCCGGTTGAGCTGCAAAAAAAGAGAGGTTTCACAGTTGAGACAATGCAATTTCCTTACAATATCTTCAAGTTTAGGGGGCTACCAGGACCACGGTCACTGCTGTGCATGCATCACTCACCAAGGTGGTCATGACTCTCCGTGTAGTGTTGAACTTTGTTGATCCCGGAGTGGCTAGGTCAGAATTGTAGGGGAGATTGGTGATGGTGAAGTTGATGGTGAAATGCTCGAGGGCTGCAGGTGTCGTTGGTGCATGGCTGGGAGCTGCAAGAAGCACAGGCAAGGAGTGACAAGGTGCAAGAGCAAAGATGTCAAAGCTCTGCAAGGGAAATGCAGAACTCTCTTGCCTACCACCTCTCGTTCCCGGCCCTAGTCTTGATGAGGATCTGTTGGGCTCCCTGCATGTCCCAGAGATCACTAGCCCTGCCCTATATTGGCCTCTGCCTACGAAAATAGACCTTTGAAGCACTTGGTGCCTTCTGATTCCACCCCCCTCCTGCAAGGCACTCACCAGGCAGGACTGGCTGTTCATTGTAACCTGGGAAAAAGAGAGAGAGATTGAGAGGGGGTCAGTGCCTGGATCCTGGTTATGGGACGGGCAGAGGAAGGCTGCAGAGAGAAACATAGTTCACCATTGACAAAGAGGCTGTCCTTGTCCAGGCTGTAGGGACCCAGTTGAGTGATGCCTCTGGTCTTGTTCCTCACTTGGTGGTAGAGGCCCACCCTGTCCAGTGCCGAGTCCGAGGGCTCTTTCCTATAGCTGCAGACGGCGTCCACAATTGTACCATCAGCTTGTGCCACGGGCCTGGAAAAAACAGCACGGACATGAACAAGCTCCTTTGCACCAAGTCACCCAATTGATGCCAGGCCTTGGAGCTTCCACAGCCGTGCTTGCTTGGGAATCACATTTCTGCCTTCATAACCTATGTGTGCATGGTGACCAGGTACTGCTCTCTGTCTGTGCTAACTCCTTGGGGCTGTTAAGGATGGAGACAGCAAAGAAGGGCTTTGCACTTCTTGGGACAACACTGTCACTCCCCGAAGTGGGAGGGCAAAATGCCCGGATATGACCTAAACCAGAAGAGCACCAGGGAATGAATGCACTCTAAAGCAGGAGAGCATCAGGGAGCAGACCTGGGTTCCTAAATAGAGGCAGGAAGAGGAAAGATATTGATGGGCCCCATCATCAGATCTTGGGACAAGCAAAGGCAAACTCAGACACACTCCAAACCTGAAAGCTGTCTTTGCACATCCCAGGAAATGGGGGCCAATGCTGCTTCCCTGCAGGAGCCGGTTGAGCTGTGCAAAAGAGAGGTTTCACAGTTAAGACAATGCCATCTCCTTACAAGCCCTTCAAGTATAGGGCCCGACAGGAAGCACGGTCATTGCTGTGCATTCACCACTCACCAAGGTGGTCATGACTCTCCGCGTAGTGTTGAACTTTGCTGAGCCCAGAGTGGCTAGGTCAGAATTGTAGGGGAGATTGGTGATGGTGAAGTTGATGGTGAAATGCTCGAGGGCTGCAGGTGTCGTTGGTGCATGGCTAGGAGCTGCGAGAAGCACAGACAGGGAGTGAAAGGTGCAAGAGCAAGGATATCAAAGCTCTGCATGGCAAACACAGAGGTCTCCTGCCCACCACTTCTCCCTCCCAGACCTTATCTTGATGAGGTTCTGTTGGGCTCTCTACTTGTCCCAGAGGTCACAAGCCCTACCCTATATTGTTCTCTACCTACGAAAAGAACCCTTTGAAGCACTTGGTGCCTTCTGATTCCACCCCTCTCCTGCAAGGCACTCACCAGGCAGGTCTGGTTGTTCATTGTAACCTGGGAAAAAGAGAGAGAGATTGGGAGGGAGTCAATGGCTGGATCCTGGTTATAATATGGGTCGGGGATAGCTGCAGAGAGGAGCATAGTTCACCATTGACGTAGAGGCTGTCCTTGTCGAGGCTGTAGGGACCCAGCTGAGTGATGCCTCTGGTCTTGTTGCTGACTTGGTGGTAGAGGTTCACTGTGTCCAAGGTCGGGTCCGAGGGCTCTTTCCTATAGCTGCAGATGGAGTCCACACTTGTACCATCAGCTTGTGCCATGGGCCTGGAAAACACAGCACCGACGTTAGCTCCTTTGCACCGAATCACCTAATTGATGACAGGTCTTGGAGCTTCCATAGCCGTGCTTGCTTGGGAATCACATTTCTGCCTTCATAACCTGTGTGTGGATGGTGGCAAGGTACTACTCTCTGTCTGTGCTAACTCCTTGGGGCTGTTAAGTATGGAGACAGCAAAGAAGGGCTTTACACTTCTTGGGGCAACACTGTCACACCTCTCAGCTGAGAGGACCAAATTCCAGGATACCACCTAAACCAGAAGAGCATCAGGGAATGAATGCGCTCTAGAGCGCATCAGAGAGCAGACCTGGGCTCCTAAATAGAGGCAGGAAGAGGGAAAGGTATTGATGGGCCCCATCATCAGATCTAGGGACAAGCAAAGGCAAACAGCCACACTCCAAACCTGAAAGTTGTCTTTTCACATCCAAGGAAAGCGGGGCCAATGCTGCTTCCCTGCAGGAGCCGGTTGAGCTGTGCAAAAGAGAGGTTTCAGTGTTTAGAGAACGTCATCGCCTTGAAACCCGTTCAAATTTATGGGGCTGAAACGAGTACGGCCATTGCTGTGCATGCATCACTCACCAAGGTGGTCATGACTCTCCGCGTAGTGTTGAATTTTGCTGATCCCAGAGTGGCTAGGTCAGAATTGTAGGGGAGATTGGTGATGGTGAAGTTGATGGTGAAATGCTCGAGGGCTGCAGGTGTCGTTGGCAGACGGCTGGGAGCTGCAAGAAGCACAAGCTGGGAGTGACAAGGTGCAAGAGCAAGGATGTCAAAGTTCTGCATAGCAAACACAGAGCTCTCCTGCCCACCACTTCTCCTTCCTGTTTCTAGTCTTGATGGGGATATGTCGGGCTCCCTGCTTCTCCCAGTCATTACAACCCCTGCCCCATATTGGCCTCTGCTTTAGAAAAAAATGCTTTAAAGCACTTGGTGCCTTTTGATCCCAGCCCGCTCCTGCAGGTACTCACCAGGCAGGACTGGCTGTTCATTGTAACCTGGGAAAAAAGAGAGAGAGATTAGGAGGGGGTCAGTGGCTGGAGCCTGGTTATAATATGGGCTGGGGATGGCTGCAGAGAGGAACATAGGTCACCATTGACGTAGAGGCTGTCCTTGTCCAGGCTGTAGGGACCCAGCTGAGTGATGCCTCTGGTCTTGTTGCTCACTTGGTGGTAGAGGCCCACCCTGTCCAAGATCGGGTCCGAGGCCTCTCTCCTATAGCTGCAGACGGCGTCCACACTTGTACCATCAGCTTGTGCCATGGGCCTGGAAAACACAGCACCAACGTGAGCAAGCTCCTTTGCACACTGACTCACCCAATCGATGCCAGGCCTTGGAGCTTCCACAGCCATACTTGCTCGGGAAACACATTTCTGCCTTCATAACTTATGTGTGCATGGTGACGAGGTATTACTCTCTGTCTGTGCTAACTCTTTGGGGCTGTTAAGGATGGAGACAGCAAAGAAGGGCTTTACACTTCTTGGGAAAACACTGTCAGTCCCCAGAGTAGGAGGACCAAATGCCAGGATATGACCTACACCAGAAGAGCATCAGGGAATGAATACACTCTAAAGTAGGAGAGCATCAGGGAGCAGACCTGGGTTCCTAAATAGAGGCAGGAAGAGGAAAGATATTGATGGGCCCCATCATCAGATCTTGGGACATGCAAAGGCACACTCAGCCACACTCCAAACCTGAAAGCTGTCTTTTCACATCCCAGGTAAGCGGGGCCAATGCTGCTTCCCTGCAGGAGCCGGTCGAGCTGCCAAAAAGAGAGGTTTCACAGTTGAGACAATGCAATTTCCTTACAGTACATTGAAGTTTATTGGGCCACCAGGGGCACGGCCATTGCTGTGCATGCACTGCTTACCAAGGTGGTCATGACTCTCCGTGTAGTGTTGAACTTTGCTGATCCCGGAGTGGCTAGGTCAGAATTGTAGGGGAGATTGGTGATGGTGAAGTTGATGGTGAAATGCTCGAGTGCAGCAGGTGTCGTTGGTGCATGGCTGGGAGCTGAAAGAAGCACAGATGGTTTGACATGTTGCACGAGCTAGCATGTCAAAGCTCTGCATGGCAAACGCAGAACTCTCCCGCCCACCACCCATTCATCCCAGTCATGGTCTCGATGGGGATCTGTCTGGCTCCCTGCTTCTCCCAGTCACCACAACCCCTGCCCTGCATTGGCCTCTACCCTTTGAAGCTCCTCGTGGTGCACTTGGTGCCTTTTGAGCTCAGCACCCTCCTGCAAATTACTCACCAGGCAGGACTGGCTGTTCATTGTAACCTGGGAAAAAAGAGAGAGAGATTGAGAGGGGGTCAGTGGCTGGATCCTGGTTAGGGGACGGGCAGAGGATGGCTGCAGAGAGAAACAAAGGTCACCGTTGACGTAGAGGCTGTCTTTGTCAAGGCTGTAGGGACCCAGCTGTGTGATGCCTCTGGTCTTGTTGCTCACTTGGTGGTAGAGGCCCACCCTATCCAAGGTCCGGTCTGAGGGATCCTTCTTGTACGTGCAGACAGCGTCCACACCTGTGCCATCAACTTGCGTCATGGGCCTGGAAAACACAGCACTGATGTGAGCACCCTCCAGTTTATCCTCTTGAATCCAGTCCAGGCTTTGTGGCTTCCAAATCCATCCTTGCTAGGGAATCACATCTCTGCCTTCATAACCTGTGTACATGGCAGCCAGGCACTGCTCTCTGTCTGTGCTAACTCCTTGGGGCTGTGAAGTATGGAGACAGCAAAGAAGGCCTTTACACTTCCTGGGACAAGACTGTCACACCTCTGAGGTGGAAGGACCAAATTCCTGGCTATGTACTAAACCAGAAGAGCATCAGGCAATGTGCTCTAAAGTAGGACAGCATCAGGGAGCAGACCTGGGTTCCTAAATAGAGGCAGGAAGAGGGAAAGATATTGATGGGCCCCATCATCAGATCTTGGGACAAGCAAAGGCAAACTCAGACACACTCCAAACCTGAAAGCTGTCTTTGTACATCCAAGGAAAGCGGGGCCAATGCTGCTTCCCTGCAGGAGCCGGTTGAGCTGCCAAAAAGAGAGGTTTCACAGTTAAGACAATGCCATCTCCTTACAAGCCCTTCAAGTTTACGGCCCGACAGGAAGCACGGTCATTGCTGTGCGTTCACCACTCACCAAGGTGGTCATGACTCTCCGTGTAGTGTTGAACTTTGCTGATCCCGGAGTGGCTAGGTCAGAATTGTAGGGGAGATTGGTGATGGTGAAGTTGATGGTGAAATGCTCGAGGGCTGCAGGTGTCGTTGGTGCATGGCTGGGAGCTGCAAGAAGCACAGACAGGGAGTGAGAACATGCAAGAGCAAAGATGTTAAAGCTCTGCATGGCAAACACAGAGGTCTCCTGGCCACCATATCTCCTTCCCAGCCCTAGTCTTGATGGGGATCTGTTGGGCTCGTTGTTTATCGCAAACATCACAAGGCATACACTATATTGGCCTCTGCCTATGAAAACAACCCTTTAAAGTACTTGGCGCCTTCTGAGCCCAGAACCCTCGTGGAAGGCACTCACCAGGCAGGACTGGCTGCTCATTGTAACCTGAGAAAAATGAGAGAGAGATTGGGAGAGGGTCAGTGACTGGAGCCTGCTTATGGTACGGGCTGGGGATGGCTTCAGAGAGAAACATAGGTCACCATTGACAAAGAGGCTGTCCTTGTCCAGGCTGTAGGGACCCAGCTGAGTGATGCCTCTGGTCTTGTTGCTCACTTGGTGGTAGAGGCCCACCCTGTCCAAGGTCGGGTCTGAGGGCTCTTTCCTATAGCTGCAGACAGCGTCCACTCTTGTGCCATCAGCTTGTGCCACGGGCCTGGAAATCACAGTACGGACATGAACAAGCTCCTTTGCACCAAGTCACCCAATTGATGCCAGGTCTTGGAGCTTCCACAGCCATACTTGCTCGGGAAACACATTTCTGCCTTCATAACCTATGTGTGCATGGTGACCAGGTACTGCTCTCTGTCTGTGCTAACTCTCTGGGGCTGTTAAGGATGGAGACAGCAAAGAAGGGCTTTACACTTCTTGGGACAACACTGTCACTCCCCGAAGTGGGAGGACCAAATGCCCGGATATGACCTAACCAGAAGAGCAACAGGGAATTTGCTCTAACGCAGGAGAGCATCAGGGAGCAGACCTGGGTTCCTAAATAGAGGCAGGAAGAGGAAAGATATTGATGGGCCCCATCATCAGATCTTGGGACAAGCAAAGGCACACTCAGCCACACTCCAAACCTGAAAGTTGTCTTTTCACATCTAAGGAAATCGGGGCCAATGCTGCTTCCCTGCAGGAGCCGGTTGAGCTGTGCAAAAGTAAGGTTTCACAGTTAAGACAATGCCATCTCCTAACAATCGCTTCAAATTTAGGGCCCTACAGGAAGCACGGTCATTGCTGTGCGTTCACCACTCACCAAGGTGGTCATGACTCTCCGCGTAGTGTTGAACTTTGCTGATCCCAGAGTGGCTAGGTCAGAATTGTAGGGGAGATTGGTGATGGTGAAGTTGATGGTGAAATGCTCGAGGGCTGCAGGTGTCGTTGGTGCATGGCTGGGAGCTGCAAGAAGCACAGGCAAGGAGTGACAAGGTGCAAGAGCAAGCATGTCAAAGCTCTGCATGGCAAACACAGAGGTCTCCTGCCCACCACGCATTCATCCCAGCCCTGGTCTCAATGGGTATCTGTCTGGCTCCCTGCTTCTCCCAGTCATCACAACCCCTGCACTATATTGGCCTTTCCCTATAAGAGCCCTTTGAAGAACTTGCTGCCTTCTGATCCCACCCCTCTACTTCAAGGCACTCACCAGGCAGGACTGGCTGTTCATTGTAACCTGGGAAAAAAGAGAGAGAGATTGGGAGGGAGTCAATGGCTGGATCCTGGTTATAATATGGGCTGGGGATGGCTGCAGAGAGGAGCATAGTTCACCATTGACGTAGAGGCTGTCCTTGTCCAGGCTGTAGGGACCCAGCTGAGTGATGCCTCTGGTCTTGTTGCTCACTTGGTGGTAGAGGCCCACCCTATCCAAGGTCGAGCCCAAGGGCTCTTTCCTATAGCTGCAGACGGCGTCCACACTTGTACCATCAGCTTGTGCCACGGGCCTGGAAAACACAGCACCAACATGAGCAAGCTCCTTTGCACCAAGTCACGCAATTGATGCCAGGTCTTGGAGCTTCCACAGCCGTCCTTGCTCGGGAAACACTTTTCTGCCTTCATAACCTATGTGTGCATGGTGCCCAGGCACTGCTCTCTGTCTGTGCTAACTCTTTGGGGCTGTTAAGGATGGAGACAGCAAAGAAGGGCTTTACACTTCTTGGGACAACACTGTCGCTCCCCGAAGTGGGAGGACCTAATGCCAGGGTATGACCTACACCGGAAGAGCATCAGGGAATGAATGCACACTAAAGCAGGAGAGCATCAGGGAGCAGACCTGGGTTCCTAAATAGAGGCAGGAAGAGGAAAGATATTGATGGGCCCCATCATCAGATCTTGGGACATTCAAAGGCACACTCAGCCACACTCCAAACCTGAAAGCTGTCTTTTCACACCCCAGGAAGTCGGGGCCAATGCTGCTTCCCTGCAGGAGCCTGTCGAGCTGCCAAAGAGAGAGGTTTCACAGTTGAGACAATGTAATCTCCTTACAGTACATTCAAGTTTATGGGGCTTCCAGGGCCACGGCCATTGCTGTGCATGCAGGGCTTACCAAGGTGGTCATTACTCTCCGTGTAGTGTTGAACTTTGCTGATCCCAGAGTGGCTAGGTCAGAATTGTAGGGGAGATTGGTGATGGTGAAGTTGATGGTGAAATGCTCGAGGGCTGCAGGTGTCGTTGGTGGTCGGCTAGGAGCTGCAAGAAGCACAGGCAGGGAGTGACAAGGTGCAAGAGCAAGCATATCAATGCTCTGCATGGTGAAAGCCGAACTCTCCTGCCCACCACCCCTCCTGCCCAGCAATGGTCTCGATGGGGATCTGTTGGGCTCCTGCTTCTCCCAGTCATGACAACCCTGCCCTACATTGGTCTCTGCATAGGAGAAGAGACCTTTGAAGGACTTCCTAGATTCTGAGCCCAGCACCATCCTGCAAGTTACTCACCAGGCAGGACTGGCTGTTCATTGTAACCTGGGAAAAAAGAGAGAGAGATTGGGAGGGGGTCAGTGGCTGGAGCCTCGTTATGGTATGGGCTTGGGGTGGCTGCAGAGAGGAACATAGGTCACCATTGATATAGAGGCTGTCCTTGTCAAGGCTGTAGGGACCCAGCTGAGTGATGCCTCTGGTCTTATTGCTCACTTGGTGGTAGAGGCCCACCCTGTCCAAGATCGGGTCCGAGGGCTCTTTCCTATAGCTGCAGACAGCGTCCACTCTTGTTCCATCAGCTTGTTTCATGGGCCTGGAAAACAGAGCACTGACGTGAGTACTGTCCTCTCTACTGTCTCCCTGCAAGTCCAGGCCTTGGGGCTTCTCCAACCATCACTGCTTGGGAATCAGATCTCTGCCTTCATAACCTATGTGTGCACGGCAGCCAGGCAATGCTCTCTGTCTGGGCTAACTGCTCGGGGCTGTTAAGGATGGAAACAGCAAAGAAGGGCTTTACACTTCTTGGGACAAGACTGTCACACCTCTGAGGTGAGAGGACCAAATGCCAGGATATGAACTAAACCAGAAGAGTATCAGGGAATGCACTCTAAAGCAGGAGAGCATCAGGGAGCAGACCTGGGTTCCTAAATATAGGCAGGAAGAGGGAAAGATATTGATGGGCCCATCATCAGACCTAGGGACATGCAAAGGCAAACAGCCACACTCCAAACCTGAAAGCTGTCGTTTCGCATCCCAGGAAATGGGGGCCAATGCTGCTTCCCTGCAGGAGCCGGTTGAGCTGTGCAAAAGAGAGGTTTCACAGTTAAGACAATGTTACACAACATTCAACTTTAAAGGGGCTACCAGGAGCACGGCCATTGCTGTGCATGCAGGGCTTACCAAGGTGGTCATGACTCTCCGTGTAGTGTTGAACTTTGCTGATCCCGGAGTGGCTAGGTCAGAATTGTAGGGGAGATTGGTGATGGTGAAGTTGATGGTGAAATGCTCGAGGGCTGCAGGTGTCGTTGGTGCATGGCTGGGAGCTGCAAGAAGCACAAGCAGGGAGTGACAAGGTGCGAGAGCAAGCATGTCAAAGCTCTGCATGGAAATGCAGAGGTCACCAGCCCACCACCCCTCCTGCCCAGCAACGGCCTCAATGGGGGTCTGTCTGGCTCCTGCTTCTCCCAGTCATCACAACCTCTGCCCTACATTGGCCTCTAGCCTTAGAAGTCCTCATGGTGCACTTGGTGCCTTCTGAGTCCAGCACCCTCCTGCAAGTTACTCACCAGGCAGGACTGGCTGTTCATTGTAACCTGGGAAAAAAGAGAGAGAGATTAGGAGGGGGTCAGTGGCTGGATCCTGGTTATGGGACGGGGAGAGGATGGCTGCAGAGGGAAATATAGTTCACCATTGACATAGAGGCTGTCCTTGTCGAGGCTGTAGGGACCCAGCTGAGTGATGCCTCTGGTCTTGTTGCTCACTTGGTGGTAGAGGCCCTCCCTGTCCAGGGTCGAGTCTGAGGGCTCCTTCCTGTACGTGCAGACGGCGTCCACTACTGTGTCATTCCCCTGTGTCACGGGCCTGGAAAACACAGCACTGACGTGAATACCCTCCTCTACACCTTCTCACCCAATATCTGCCAGAACTTGGGACTTGCACAGCCCTCTTTGCTTGGGAATTCTATCTCTGCCTTCATAACCTATATGTGCATGGAGGCCATTCATTGCTCCCTGCATGTACTAATGACCTGAAGCTGTTGAAGTACTACAAGGTCAGGCAGGGCTTTAGCTGGTTTTGCTGCTTTACTTTCAGTGCCCTGAGGCAAGAAGGCAAGGTCCATAGGAAAGTGTTAGGACAGGGCGGAAACTGAATGCTGCCTAAAGCAGGAGGGTGGTTGAGAGAAGAATCTTCCCAGGCAGTCCAGGCAGAAACAGAGCAGGAGCTTGATGGGCCCCATCAACTGATTGTGGGACAGGCAAAAGGATACCAAGTCACGTTCCAAACCTGAAAGCTTTTGTTTCACATCCAAGGAAAGTGGGGCCAATGCTGGTTCCCTGCAGAAGCTGGTCAAGCTGCCGAGAAGAGAGGTTTCACAATTAAGACAACGTCATCTCCTTAAAATCCCTTCAAGTTTATGAGGCTAGCAGGGGCATAACCATTCCTGTGCATGAACCACTCACCAAGGTGGTCATGACTCTCCGCGTAGTGTTGAACTTTGCTGATCCCAGAGTGGCTAGGTCAGAATTGTAGGGGAGATTGGTGATGGTGAAGTTGATGGTGAAATGCTCGAGGGCTGCAGGTGTCGTTGGTGCTTGGCTGGGATCTGCAAGAAGCCCATACATGGAGTGACAAGGTGCCAGAGCCATCATGTCAAAGCTCTGCATGGCAAACACAGAGGTCTCCTGGCACCACCCATTCATCACGGCCCTGGTCTTGATGGCAATCTGTCGGGCTCCCTGATTCTCCCAATCATCACAAGACCTGCCCTACATTGGCCTCTGCATAGGAGAAGAGACCTTTGAAGGACTTCCTGGATTCTGAGCCCAGCACCCTCCTGCAAGTTACTCACCAGGCAGGACTGGCTGTTCATTGTAACCTGGGAAAAAAGAGAGAGAGAATGAGAGGGGGTCAGTGGCTGGAGCCTGGTTATGGTACAGGCTGGGGATGGCTGCAGAGAGGAGCATAGGTCACCATTGACGTAGAGGCTGTCCTTGTCGAGGCTGTAGGGACCCAGCTGAGTGATGCCTCTGGTCTTGTTGCTCACTTGGTGGTAGAGGCCCACCCTATCCAAAATTGGGTCCGAGGGCTCTTTCCTATAGCTGCAGACAGCGTCCACTCTTGTGCCATCCCCTTGCGTCATGGGCCTGGAAAACACAGCACTGACGTGAGCACCGTCCTCTCTACTGTCTCGCTGCAAGGCCAGGACTTGGGGCTTCCGCAACGATCCTTGCTAGGGAATCAGATCTCTGCCTTCATAACCTATGTGTGCATGGCAGCCAGGCAATGCTCTCTGTCTGTGCTAACTCCTTGGGGCTGTTAAAAATGGAGACACCTCAGAAGGGCGTTAAATATCATGGGACAACACTGTCACTCACAGAGGTGGGAGGTCAAAATGCCAGGATATGACCTAAACCAAAAGAACATCATCGAATGAATGTGCTCTAAAGAAGGAGAGCATCAGGGAGCAGACCTGAAATTCGAAATATAGGCAGGAAGAGGGAAAGATATTGATGGGCCCCATCATCAGATCTTGGGACATGCAAAGGCACACTCAGCCACACTTCAAACCTGAAAGCTGTCTTTTCACATTCCAGGAAAGCGGGGCCAATGCTGCTTCCCTGCAGGAGCCGGTTGAGCTGTGCAAAAGTAAGGTTTCACAGTTAAGAGAATGTCATCGCCTTGCACCCCTTCAAATTTATGGGACTACGAGGGGCACGGCCATTGCTGTGCATGCATCACTCACCAAGGTGGTCATGACTCTCCGTGTAGTGTTGAACTTTGCTGATCCCAGAGTGGCTAGGTCAGAATTGTAGGGGAGATTGGTGATGGTGAAGTTGATTGTGAAATGCTCGAGGGCTGCAGGTGTCGTTGGTGCACGGCTGGGAGCTGCAAGAAGCACAGATGTTTTGACACGTTGCACGAGCCAGCATGTCAAAGCTCGGCATGGTAAATGCAGAACTCTCCTGCCCACCACCCCTTCATCCCAGTCATGGTCTCGTTGGGGATCTGTTGGGCTCCCTGCTTCTCCCAGTCATCACAAGCCATGTCCTATATTGGCCTCTGCCTCTTGAAGGACCTCGTGGTGCACTAGGTGCCTTCTGAACCCAGCACCCTCCTGCAAGTTACTCACCAGGCAGGACTGGCTGTTCATTGTAACCTGAGGAAAAGAGAGAGAGATTGAGAGGGGGTCAGTGGCTGGAGCCTCGTTATGGTACGGGCTTGGGGTGGCTGCAGAGAGGAGCATAGGTCACCATTGACGTAGAGGCTGTCCTTGTCCAGGCTGTAGGGACCCAGCTGAGTGATGCCTCTGGTCTTGTTGCTCACTTGGTGGTAGAGGCCCACCCTGTCCAAGATCAGGTCCGAGGGCTCTTTCCTATAGCTGCAGACAGCATCCACTCTTGTGCCATCCCCTTGCGTCATGGTCCTGGAAAACACAGCACTGACGTGAGCCCCATCCTCTCTACTGTCTCACTGCAAGGCCAGGCCTTGGGGCTTCCGCATCCATCCTTGCTAGGGAATCAGATCTCTGCCTTCATAACCTGTGTGTGCATGGCACTGCTCTCTGTCTGTGCTATCTCCTTGTGGCTGTTAAGAATGGAGACACCCCAGAAGGGCTTTACACTTCTTGGGATAAGACCGTCACATCTCTTAGGTGAGAGGACCAAATGCCAGGAGATGACCTAAACCAGAAGAGCATCGGTAAATGCACTCTAAAGCTGGAGAGCATCAGGGAGCAGACCTGGGTTCCTAAATAGAGGCAGGAAGAGGTAAAGATATTGATGGGCCCCATCATCAGATCTTGGGACATGCAAAGGCACACTCAGCCACACTCCAAACCTGAAAGTTGACTTTTCACATCCAAGGAAAGAGGGGCCAATGGTGCTTCCCTGCAGGAGCCGGTTGAGCTGCAAAAAGAGAGGTTTCACAGTTAAGACAATGCCATCTCCTTACAGTCCCTTCAAGTTTAGGGGGCTTTCAGGGGCACAGCCATTGCTGTGCGTTCACCACTCACCAAGGTGGTCATAACTCTTTGCGTACTGTTGAAATTTGCTGATCCCGGAGTGGCTAGGTCAGAATTGTAGGGGAGATTGGTGATGGTGAAGTTGATGGTGAAATGCTCGAGGGCTGCAGGTGTCGTTGGTGCATGGCTGGGAGCTGCAAGAAGCACAGGCAAGGAGTGACAAGGTGCAAGAGCAAGCATGTCAAAGCTCTGCATGGCAAACACAGAGGTCTCCTGCCCACCACACATTCATCCCAGTCATGGTCTCGATGGGGATCTGTCTGGCTCCCTGCTTCTCCCAGTCATCACAACCCCTGCCCTATATTGGCCTTTCCCTATAAGAGCCCTTTGAAGCACTTGCTGCCTTCTGATCCCACCCCTCTACTTCAAGGCACTCACCAGGCAGGACTGGCTGTTCATTGTAACCTGGGAAAAGAGAGAGAGAGATTGAGAGGGGGTCAGTGCCTGGAGCCTAGTTATGGGACGCGAAGAGGATGGCTGCAGAGAGAAATATAGGTCACCATTGACGTAGAGGCTGTCCTTGTCCAGGCTGTAGGGACCCAGCTGAGTGATGCCTCTGGTCTTGTTGCTCACTTGGTGGTAGAGGCCCACCCTGTCCAAGATCGGGTCCGAGGGCTCTTTCCTATAGCTGCAGACGGCGTCCACACTTGTACCATCAGCTTGTGCCACGGGCCTGGAAAACACAGCACCAACGTGAGCAAGCTCCTTTGCACCAAGTCACGCAATTGATGCCAGGTCTTGGAGCTTCCACAGCCATACTTGCTCGGGAAACACTTTTCTGCCTTCATAACCTATGTGTGCATGGTGACCAGGTACTGCTCTCTGTCTGTGCTAACTCCTTGGGGCTGTTAAGGATGGAGACAGCAAAGAAGGGCTTTACACTTCTTGGGACAACACTGTAGCTCCCCGAAGTGGGAGGACCTAATGCCAGGATATGACCTAAATCAGAAGAGCATCAGGGAATGAATGCACTCTAAAGCAGGAGAGCATCAGGGAGCAGACCTGGGTTCCTAAATAGAGGCAGGAAGAGGAAAGATATTGATGGGCCCCATCATCAGATCTTGGGACATTCAAAGGCACACTCAGCCACACTCCAAACCTGAAAGCTGTCTTTTCACACCCCAGGAAATCGGGGCCAATGCTGCTTCCCTGCAGGAGCCTGTCGAGCTGCCAAAGAGAGAGGTTTCACAGTTGAGACAATGCAATTTCTTTACAGTACATTGAAGTTTATTGGGCCACCAGGGGCATGGCCATTGCTGTGCATGCACTGCTTACCAAGGTGGTCATGACTCTCCGTGTAGTGTTGAACTTTGCTGATCCCGGAGTGGCTAGGTCAGAATTGTAGGGGAGATTAGTGATGGTGAAGTTGATGGTGAAATGCTCGAGGGCTGCAGGTGTCGTTGGTGGTCGGCTAGGAGCTGAAAGAAGCACAGGCAGGGAGTGACAAGGTGCAAGAGCAAGCATGTCGAAGCTCTGCAAGGGAAACACAGATGTCACCTGCGCACCACCCCTCCTGCCCAGCAATGGTCTCGATGGGGATCTGTCTGGCTCCCTGCTTCTCCCAGTCATCACAACCCCTGCCCTATATTGGCCTTTCCCTATAAGAGCCCTTTGAAGCACTTGCTGCCTTCTGATTCCACCCCTCTCCTGCAAGGCACTCACCAGGCAGGACTGGCTGTTCATTGTAACCTGGGAAAAAAGAGAGAAAGATTGGGAGAGGGTCAGTGGCTACAGCCTGGTTATGGTACTGGCTGGGGTTGGCTGCAGAGAGGAACATAGGTCACCATTGATGTAGAGGCTGTCCTTGTCCAGGCTGTAGGGACCCAGCTGAGTGATGCCTTTGGTCTTGTTGCTCACTTGGTGGTAGAGGCCCTCCCTGTCCAGGGTCAAGTCTGAGGGCTCCTTCCTGTACATGCAGACGGCGTCTACTCCTGTGTCATCAGCTTGTGTCACGGGCCTGGAAAACACAGCACTGATGTGAATACCCTCCTCTACACCTTCTCACCCAATATCTGCCAGAACTTGGGACTTGCATAGCCGCCTTTGCTTAGAAATTCTATCTCTGCCTTCATAACCTATGTGTGCATGGAGGCCATTCACTGCTCCCTGCCTGTGCTAAAGTCCTGAAGCTGTTGAGGAATCACAATGACAGGTAGGGCTTTAGTTCATCTTGTTCCTTTACTGTCAGTGCCTTGAGGCAAGAAGGGAAGATGCACAGGTATAACATAAAAAATGATAGAATCAGAGAGTGGGACCTAAAGCATGAGGGTGTCTGGGAGAAGAATCTCCCCAGTTGTTCCAGGCAGAAACAGAGCAGGACCTTGATGGGACCCATCCACTGATTGTGGGACAGGCAAAAGGACACCAAGTCGTGTTCCAAACCTGAAAGCTTTTGTTTCACATCCAAGGAAAGTGGGGCCAATGCTGGTTCCCTGCAGGAGCCGGTTGAGCTGCCAAAAAGAGAGGTTTCACAGTTAAGACAACGCCATCTCCTTACAATCCCTTCAAGTTTATGGGGCTTCCAGGGACATGGCCATTGCTGTGCATGCATCACTCACCAAGGTGGTCATGACTCTCCGTGTAGTGTTGAACTTTGCTGATCCCAGAGTGGCTAGGTCAGAATTGTAGGGGAGATTGGTGATGGTGAAGTTGATGGTGAAATGCTCGAGGGCTGCAGGCGTCGTTGGTGCTTGGCTGGGAGCTGCAAGAAGCACAGACAGGAAGTGACAACATGCAAGAGCAAGGATGTCAAAGCTCTGCATGGGAAATGCAGAGGTCACCGGCGCACCACCCCTCCTTCCTGGTCTTGATGGTGATCTTTCTGGCTCCCTGCTTCTCCCAGTCATCACAAGACCTGCCCTACGTTGGCGTCTGCATAGGAGAAGAGACTTTTGAAGGACTTCCTGGATTCTGAGGCCAGCACCCTCCTGCAAGTTACTCACCAGGCAGGACGGGCTGTTCATTGTAACCTGAGGAAAAGAGAGAGAATGAGAGGGGGTCAGTGACTGAATCCTTGTTATGGGACAGGCTGGGGATGGCTGCAGAGAGGAGCATAGGTCACCATTGACGTAGAGGCTGTCCTTGTCCAGGCTGTAGGGACCCAGCTGAGTGATGCCTCTGGTCTTGTTGCTCACTTGGTGGTAGAGGCCCACCCTGTCCAAGGTTGGGTCCAAGGGCTCTTTCCTATAGCTGCAGATGGCGTCCACTCTTGTGCCATCCCCTTGCGTCATGGGCCTGGAAAACAGAGCACTGACGTGAGCACCGTCCTCTCCACTGTCTCACTGCAAGGTCAGGCCTTGGGGCTTCCGCATCCATCCTTGCTAGGGAATCAGATCTCTGCCTTCATAACCTGTGTGTGTGCATGGCAGCCAGGCACTGCACTCTGTCTGTGCTAACTCTTTGGGGCTGTTAAGGATGGAAACAGCAAAGAAGGGCTTTACACTTCTTGGGACAATACTGTCGCTCCCCGAAGTGGGAGGACCAAATGCCAGGATACGACCTAAACCAGAAGAGCATCAGGGAATTTGCTCTAAAGCAGGAGAGTATCAGGGAGCAGATCTGGGTTCCTAAATAGAGGCAGGAAGAGGAAAGATATTGATGGGCCCCATCATGAGATTTAGGGACATGCAAAGGCACACTCGGCCACACTCCAAACCTGAAAGTTGTCGTTTCACATCCCAGGAAAGCGGGGCCAATGCTGCTTCCCTGCAGGAGCCGGTCGAGCTGCCAAAGAGAGAGGTTTCACAGTTGAGACAATGCAATTTCTTTACAGTACATTGAAGTTTATTGGGCCACCAGGGGCACGGCCATTGCTGTGCATGCACTGCTTACCAAGGTGGTCATGACTCTCCGTGTAGTGTTGAACTTTGCTGATCCCAGAGTGGCTAGGTCAGAATTGTAGGGGAGATTGGTGATGGTGAAGTTGATGGTGAAATGCTTGAGGGGTGCAGGTGTCCATGCTTGGCCGAGAGCTGAAAGAAGCACAGATGGGGAGTAACATGGTGCAAGAGCAAGGATGTCAAGGCCTTCATGGCAAACACAGAGGTTTCTCATAATTACACCTAAAGTTTAACCCTGTTCTTTCTGTTTTTATAGAAACTGTCCAAATAATTTCTTTTCATTTGGTCTTTGTTCAGAGTTTGATATGATATTTTCTATTTTAATTATATATTTTATATTGTGGTTTTGTCTTTATACAGCATTGCTCTGTGTGTTTTTTTAAATGTCTCCATTATATGAATGTGTATGGTTAATTTTGAGATTCACGATGAGGACACATTATCTGCTTAGTCTTTCCTTTCCTTTCAACTTAGAAATTTGGTTTGATGTTCAGTATTCATTAAGTATTTCCCAATAGAATGCAGGAAGTCAAAATCATGCTATGAAATGAGAGGTACTTTCCAAATAATACAAATACAATAAGGGTCTGTAATTAACATCCTTTCTTAAGGGAGCAGAGTACTTCTAAAAGAAAAATAACTATAAATATATTACATACTGACATGTTGGAAATATAGGATTAGTGGTAGATTGATAATGGTGAAACTTAAGAATGCTTCAGTGTGATATGTTTACAATTATAAGAAGTTATTACTGTGACTTGACTTACTTGTTCTTGGAGTACTACTAACAGTGACTCTGGCCAGTGTTTCAGAAAACACAGTACTTGTAAGATCAGAAAAAGTAATGAAAGACTTCTGTGTTGTACCTGTGTCGGTCACAAGCGCAGCAGTGGATGGTCCAGAGAGGATGGAAGTGAGAGCAGCAGACGTTTCAGCAGCTGTGATGACTGTTTGTGTGGAGGAGAGCAGTGCGGAGGTGGAATCAGGAACAGATGTATATGGTTGAGTGGAAGAGTGTGAAACCACCATTTCAGAACGAGATGTAGATGTGATAGCAAAGGTGGAGATTTCCTTCATAGCAGTGGTGCCCGCAGTGGTGCCCACACTGGAGCTCTGAAGGGTTGACTTCCCCGTGCTTATAGAATTGGAGGTTGTAGCCATGGTGGAGGTGAGTGTAGCTGTGGACAAAGATGATGAAAAGTTATCCACAGACGTACTCAGGTTAACAGCTGTTCTTCCCATGCTGCTGGAGGGCAGGGAGGAGGTTGTCTCTAAAGCAGAGGTTTGTGCTTGAGTGGAAGAGAGTAAAGCTGTAGTGTCAGGAGGAGACGTTTCCTGGGAAACCGTAGTGGAGGTTTCCTGCATGGTGGTTGTGGCAATCAAAGTGCTTTCCTCCAGGGTGGATGTGCCGGTGCTGGTATGCGTGGAGATAGTTGGAAAAGAAGAAATAGATGCAGACAATGCCAAAGAGGTAGAAATGATCTCCTTGGATGTACTCAGAAGAGGGGATGTGGTGGCTGTAGTTGGACTTGTGCCTGGAGCAGTGGAGGATGATGTTACAAGGACTGCAGTTGTGGGGGATTCTGTTATCTGTGTAGTTGTGGAGGCTACATTGGAAGTAGAAGATGTTCCACCTGTACTAGGAGTGGCTGCAGTGGTCGATTGTGGTACTGGGCTCGTTGTTCCCATGCTGCTGGAGAGCAGGGAGGAGGTTGTCTCTAAAGCAGAGGTTTGTGCTTGAGTTGAAGAGAGTAAAGCTCTAGTGTCAGGAGGAGACGTTTCCTGGGAAACGATGGTGGAGGTTTCCAGCATGGTGGCCGTGAGGATCGCAGTGATTTCCTCCAGGGTGGATGCACCAGTGCTGGTAGTACTGGAGGTTGTTGGAAAGGAGGAAATGGGTGTAGAAGTCGCCAAAGTTGTGGAAATGATCTCCTCGGATGTGCTCAGAAGAGGGGATATGGTGCCTGTAGTTGCACTTGGGCCTGGAGCAGTGGAGGATGATGTTACAAAGACTGCGGTTGTGGGGGATTCTGTTATCTGGGTAGTTCTGGAGCTGACAGCGAAAGCAGATGCTCCACCTGCGCTAGGAGTGACTGAATTGGTTTTCTGAGGTGCTGGGCTCATTGTTCCCAAGCTGCTGGAGAGCAGGGAGGAGGTTGTCTCTAAAGCAGAGGTTTGTGCTTGAGTCAAGTAGAGTAAAGCTGTAGTATCAGGAGGAGACGTTTCCTGCGAAACACTGGTGGAGGGTTCCTGCATGGAGGTTGTGGAGATCACAGTGCTTTGCCCCAGGATAGATGCACCAGTGTTGGCAGCAGTGGAGGTTGTTGACAGGGTGGAACGGGGTGTAGAAGTTGCCAAAGTTGTGGAAATGATCTCCTCGGATGTGCTCAGAAGAGGGGATGTGGTGGCTGTAGTTGGGCTTGTGCCTGGAGCAGTGGAGGATGATGTTACAAGGACTGCGGTTGTGGGGGATTCTGTTATCTGTGTAGCTGTCGAGGTGACAGCAGCAGCAGAAGATGTTCTACCTGTAATAGGAGAGACTGCAGTGGTTGTTTCAGGTGCTGCGCTCGTTGTTCCCATGCTGCTGGAGAGCAGGGAGGAGGTTGTCTCTAAAGCAGAGGTTTGTGCTTGAGTCGAAGAGAGTAAAGCTGTAGTGTCAGGAGGAGACGTTTCCTGGGAAACACTGGTAGAGGTTTCCAGCATCGTGGTAGTGGCGATTACAGTGCTTTCCTCCAGAGTGGATGCACCAGTGTTGGTAGCAGTGGTGGTTGCTGACAGAGAGGAACTGGGTGTAGAAGTTGCCAAAGTTGTGGAAATGATCTCCTCGGATGTGCTCAGAAGAGGGGATGTGGTGGCTGTAGTTGGGCTTGTGCCTGGAGCAGTGGAGGATGATGTTACAAGGACTGTGGTGGTCAGGGATTCTCTTATCGGTGCAGCTGTCGAGGTGACAGCGGGAGTGGAAGATGTCCTACCTGTGGTAGGACTGACTCCAGTGGTTGTTTGAGCTGCTGGGCTCGTTGTTCCCATGCTGCTGGAGAGCAGGGAGGAGGTTGTCTCTAAAGCAGAGGTTTGTGCTTGAGTCGAAGAGAGAAAAGCTGTAGTGTCAGAAGGAGAATTTTCCTGTGAAACACTGGTGGAGGTTTCCAGCATGGTGGTTGTGGCGATCACAGTGCTTTCCTCCAGAGTGGATGCACCAGTAGCACTGGTTGCCTCTGGAAAAGAGGAAATGGGTGTAGAAGTTGCCAAAGTTGTGGAAATGATCTCCTCAGATGTGCTCAGAAGAGGGGATGTGGTGGCTGTAGTTGGGCTTGTGCCTGGAGCGGTGGAGGATGATGTTACAAGAACTGCGGTTGTGGGGGATTCTTTTATCTGGGTAGTTGTGGAGGCTACATTGGAAGTAGAAGATATTCCACCTGTACTAGGAGTGGCTGCAGTGGTTGTTTGTGGTACTGGGCTTGTTGTTCCCATGCTGCTGGAGAGCAGGGAGGAGGTTGTTTCTAAAGCAGAGGTTTGTGCTTGAGTCGAAGAGAGTAAAGCTCTAGTGTCAGGAGGAGACGTTTCCAGGGAAACACTGGTGGAGGTTTCCAGCATGGTGGTTGTGGCGATCACAGTGCTTTCCTCCAGAGTGGATGCACCAGTGTTGGTAGCACTGGTGGTTTTTGACAGAGAGGAAATGGGTGTAGAAGTTGCCAAGGTTGTGGAAATGATCTCCTCGGATGTGCTCAGAAGAGGGGATGTGGTGGCTGTAGTTGGGCTTGTGCCTGGAGCAGTGGAGGATGACGTTACAAGGACTGCGGTTGTGGGGGATTCTGTTATCTGTGTAGCTCTCGAGGTGACAGCGGGAGCAGAAGATGTTCTACCTGTGCTAGGAGTGATTGCAGTGGTTGGTTGAGCTGCTGGGCTTGTTGTTCCCATGCTGCTGGAGAGCAGGGAGGAGGTTGTCTCTAAAGCAGAGGTTTGTGCTTGAGTCGAAGAGAGAAAAGCTGTAGCGTCAGGCGGAGATGTTTCCTGGGAAACGCTGGTGGAGGTTTCCAGCATGGTGGTTGTGGCGATCACAGCGCTTTCCCCCAGAGTGGATGCACCAGTAGCACTGGAGGTTGCTGGAAAAGAGGAAATGGGTGTAGAAGTTGCCAAAGTTGTGGAAATGATCTCCTCGGATGTGTTCAGAAGAGGGGATGTGGTGGCTGTAGTTGGGCTTGTGCCTGGAGCAGTGGAGGAAGACGTTACAAGGACTGCAGTTGTGGGGGATTCAGTTATCTGGGTAGTTGTGGAGGCTACATTGGAAGTAGAAGATGTTCCACCTGTACTACGAGTGGCTGCAGTGGTTGTTTTTGGTACAGGGCTCGTTGTACCCATGCTGCTTGAGAGCATGGAGGAGGTTTTCTCTATAGCAGAGGCTTGTGCTTGTGTCGAAGAGAGTAAAGCTGTAGTGTCAGGTGGAGACGTTTCCTGGGAAACACTGGTGGAGGTTTCCAGCATGGTGGTTTTGGCAATCACAGTGCTTTCCTCCAGAGTGGATGCACCAGTGTTGGTAGCACTGCTTGTCTCTGGAAAGGAGGAAATGGGTGTAGAAGTTGCCAAAGTTGTGGAAATGGTCTCCTTGGATGTGTTCAGAAGAGGGGATGTCCTGGCTGTAGTTGGGCTTGTGCCTGGAGCAATAAAGGATGATGTTACAAGGACTTCGGTTGTGGGAGATTCTGTTATCTGTGTAGCTGTCGAGGTTACAGCGGGAGCAGAAGATGTTCCACCTGAACTAGGAGTGGCTGCAGTGGTTGTTTCAGGTGCTGCGCTCGTTGTTCCCATGATGCCAGAGAGCAGGGATGATGTTCTCTCTAAAGCAGAGGTTTGTGCTTGAGTCGAAGAGAGAAAAGCTGTAGTGTCAGGAGGAGACGTTTCCTGGGAAACACTGGTGGAGGTTTCCAGCATGGTGGTTGTGGCGATCACAGTGCTTTCCTCCAGAGTGGATGCACCAGTGTTGGTAGCACTGGTTGTCTCTGGAAAAGAGGAAATGGGTGTAGAAGTTGCCAAAGTTGTGGAAATGATCTCCTCGGATGTGCTCAGAAAAGGGGATGTGGTAGTTGTAGTTGGGCTTGTGCCTGGAGCGGTGGAGGATGATGTTACAAGGACTGCGGTTGTGGGGGATTCTGTTATCTGTGTAGCTGTCGAGGTGACAGCGGGAGAAGAAGATGTTCTACCTGTGCTAGGAGTGACTGCAGTGGTTGGTTGAGCTGCTGGGCTTGTTGTTCCCATGCTGCTGGAGAGCAGGGAGGAGGTTGTCTCTAAAGCAGAGGTTTGTGCTTGAGTCGAAGAGAGAAAAGCTGTAGCGTCAGGCGGAGACGTTTCCTGGGAAACACTGGTGGAGGTTTCCAGCATGGTGGCTGTGGCGATCACAGTGCTTTCCCCCAGAGTGGATGCACCAGTAGCACTGGAGGTTGCTGGAAAAGAGGAAATGGGTGTAGAAGTTGCCAAAGTTGTGGAAATGATCTCCTCGGATGTGCTCAGAAGAGGGGATGTGGTGGCTGTAGTTGGGCTTGTGCCTGGAGCAGTGGAGGATGATGTTACAAGGACTGCGGTTGTGGGGGATTCTTTTATCTGGGTAGTTGTGGAGGCTACATTGGAAGTAGAAGATGTTCCACCTGTACTAGGAGAGACTGCAGTGGTTGTTTGTGGTACTGGGCTCGTTGTTCCCATGCTGCTTGAGAGCAGGGAGGAGGTTGTCTCTAAAGCAGAGGTTTGTGCTTGAGTCGAAGAGAGCAAAGCTGTAGTGTCAGAAGGAGACGTTTCCTGGGAAACACTGGTGGAGGTTTCCAGCATGGTGGTTGTGGCGATCACAGTGCTTTCCTCCAGAGTGGATGCACCAGTGTTGGTAGCACTGCTTGTATCAGGAAAAGAGGAAATGGGTGTAGAAGTTGCCAAAGTTGTGGAAATGATCTCCTCGGATGTGCTCAGAAAAGGGGATTTGGTGGTTGTAGTTGGGCTTGCGCCTGGAGCGGTGGAGGATGATGTTACAAGGACTGCGGATGTGGGGGATTCTGTTATCTGGGTAGTTGTGGAGGCTACATTGGAAGTAGAAGATGTTCCACTTGTACTTGGAGTGGATGCAGTGGTTGTTCTTGGTACAGGGCTCGTTGTTCCCATGCTGCTTGAGAGCAGGGAGGAGGTTGTTTCTAAAGCAGAGGTTTGTCCTTGTGTCGAAGAGAGTAAAGCTGTAGTGTCAGCAGGAGACGTTTCCTGTGAAACACTGGTGGAGGTTTCCAGCATGGTGGTTGGGGCGATCACAGTGCTTTCCTCCAGAGTGGATGCACCAGTGTTGGTAGCACTGGTTGTCTCTGGAAAAGAGGAAATGGGTGTAGAAGTTGCCAAAGTTGTGGAAATGATCTCCTCGGATGTGTTCAGAAGAGGGGATGTGCTGGCTGTAGTTCGGCTTGTTGCTGGAGCAATGGAGGATGATGTTACAAGGACTGCAGCTGTGGGGGATTCTGTTATCTGTGTAGCTGTCGAGGTGACAGCGGGAGCAGAAGATGTTCCACCTGTACTAGGAGTGGCTGCAGTGGTTGTTTCAGCTGCTGCGCTCGTTGTTCCAATGCTGCTGGAGAGCAGGGAGGAGGTTGTCTCTAAAGCAGAGGTTTGTGCTTGAGTCGAAGAGAGAAAAGCTGTAGCGTCAGGCAGAGAGGTTTCCTGGGAAACGCTGGTGGAGGTTTCCAGCATGGTGGTTGTGGCGATCACAGCGCTTTCCTCCAGAGTGGATGCACCAGTGTTGGTAGCACTGGAGGTTGCTGGAAAAGAGGAAATGGGTGTAGAAGTTGCCAAAGTTGTGGAAATGATCTCCTCGGATGTGTTCAGAAGAGGGGATGTGGTGGTTGTAGTTGGGCTTGTGCCTGGAGCAATGGAGGATGATGTTACAAGGACTGCGGTTGAGGGGGATTCTTTTATCTGGGTAGTTGTGGAGGCTACATTGGAAGTAGAAGATGTTCCACCTGTACTAGGAGTGGCTGCAGTGGTTGTTTGTGGTACTGGGCTCGTTGTTCCCATGCTGCTGGAGAGCAGGGAGGAGGTTGTTTCTAAAGCAGAGGTTTGTGCTTGAGTCGAAGAGAGTAAAGCTGTAGTGTCAGGCGGAGACGTTTCCTGGGAAACACTGGTGGAGGTTTCCAGCATGGTGGTTGTGGCGATCACAGTGTTTTCCTCCAGAGTGGATGCACCAGTGTTGGTAGCACTGGTTGTCTCTGGAAAAGAGGAAATGGGTGTAGAAGTTGCCAAAGTTGTGGAAATGATCTCCTCGGATGTGTTCAGAAGGGGGGATGTGGTGGCTGTAGTTGGGCTTGTGCCTGGAGCAGTGGAGGATGATGTTACAAGGACTGCGGTTGTGGGGGATTCTTTTATCTGGGTAGTTGTGGAGGCTTCATTGGAAGTAGAAGATGTTCCACCTGTACTAGGAATGGCTGCAGTTGTTGTTTGTGGTACTGGGCTCGTTGTTCCCATGCTGCTGGAGAGCAGGGAGGAGGTTGTTTCTAAAGCAGAGGATTGTGCTTGAGTCGAAAAGAGTAAAGCTGTAGTGTCAGGAGGAGACGGTTCCTGGGAAACACTGGTGGAGTTTTCCAGCATGGTGGTGGTGGCGATCACAGTGCTTTCCTCCAGAGTGGATGTACCAGTAGCACTGGAGGTTGCTGGAAAAGAGGAAATGGGTGTAGAAGTTGCCAAAGTTGTGGAAATGATCTCCTCGGATGTGTTCAGAAGAGGGGATTTGGTGGTTGTAGTTGGGCTTGTGCCTGGAGCAGTGGAGGATGACGTTACAAGGACTTCAGTTGTGGGAGATTCTGTTATCTGTGTAGCTGTCGAGGTGACAGCGGGAGCAGAAGATGTTCTACTTGTGCTAGGAGTGACTGCAGTGGTTGGTTGAGCTGCTGGGCTTGTTGTTCCCATGCTGCTGGAGAGCAGGGAGGAGGTTGTCTCTAAAGCAGAGGTTTGTGCTTGAGTCGAAGAGAGAAAAGCTGTAGCGTCAGGCGGAGACGTTTCCTGGGAAACGCTTGTGGAGGTTTCCAGCATGGTGGTTGTGGCGATCACAGTGCTTTCCTCTAGAGTGGATGCACCAGTAGCACTGGAGGTTGCTGGAAAAGAGGAAATGGGTGTAGAAGTTGCCAAAGTTGTGGAAATGATCTCCTCGGATGTGCTCAGAAGGGGGGATGTGGTGGCTGTAGCTGGGCTTGTGCCTGGAGCAGTGGAGGATGATGTTACAAGTACTGCGGTTGTGGGGGATTCTTTTATCTGGGTAGTTGTGGAGGCTACATTGGAAGTAGAATATGTTCCACCTGTACTAGGAGTGGCTGCAGTGGTTGTTTTTGGTACAGGGCTCGTTGTTCCCATGCTGCTGGAGAGCATGGAGGAGGTTTTCTCTATAGCAGAGGTTTGTGCTTGTGTCGAAGAGAGTAAAGCTGCAGTGTCAGGCGGAGACGTTTCCTGGGAAACACTGGTGGAGATTTCCAGCATGGTGGTTGTGGCGATCACAGTGCTTTCCTCTAGAGTGGATGCACCAGTGTTGGTAGCACTGGTTGTCTCTGGAAAAGAGGAAATGGGTGTAGAAGTTGCCAAAGTTGTGGAAATGATCTCCTCGGATGTGCTCAGAAGAGGGGATGTGGTGGCTGTAGTTGGGCTTGTGCCTGGAGCAGTGGAGGATGAGGTTACAAGGACTGCGGTTGTGGGGGATTCTTTTATCTGGGTAGTTGTGGAGGCTACATTGGAAGTAGAATATATTCCACCTGTACTAGGAGAGACTGCAGTGGTTGTTTGTGGTACTGGGCTCGTTGTACCCATGCTGCTTGAGAGCAGGGAGGAGGTTGTTTCTAAAGCAGAGGTTTGTGCTTGAGTCGAAGAGAGAAAAGCTGTAGTGTCAGGCGGAGACGTTTCCTGGGAAACACTGGTGGAGGTTTCCAGCATGGTGGTTGTGGCGATCACAGTGCTTTCCTCCAGAGTGGATGCACCAGTAGCACTGGTTGTCTCTGGAAAAGAGGAAATGGGTGTAGAAGTTGCCAAAGTTGTGGAAATGATCTCCTCGGATGTGTTCAGAAAAGGGGATGTGGTGGCTGTAGTTTGGCTTGTGCCTGGAGCAGTGGAGGATGATGTTACAAGGACTGCGGTTGTGGGGGATTCTGTTATCTGGGTAGTTGTGGAGGCTTCATTGGAAGTAGATGTTCCACCTGTACTAGGAGTGGCTGCAGTGGTTGTTTGTGGTACTGGGCTCGTTGTTCCCATGCTGCTGGAGAGCAGGGAGGAGGTTGTTTCTAAAGCAGAGGATTGTGCTTGAGTCGAAAAGAGTAAAGCTGTAGTGTCAGAAGGAGACGTTTCCTGGGAAACACTGGTGGAGGTTTCCAGCATGGTGGTTGTGGCGATCACAGTGCTTTCCTCCAGAGTGGATGCACCAGTGTTGGTAGCACTGCTTGTCTCTGGAAAAGAGGAAATGGGTGTAGAAGTTGCCAAAGTTGTGGAAATGATCTCCTCGGATGTGCTCAGAAAAGGGGATTTGGTGGTTGTAGTTGGGCTTGTGCCTGGAGCAGTGGAGGATGATGTTACAAGGACTCCAGTTGTGGGAGATTCTGTTACCTGTGTAGCTGTCGAGGTGACAGCGGGAGCAGAAGATGTTCTACCTGTGCTAGGAGTGACTGCAGTGGTTGGTTGAGCTGCTGGGCTTGTTGTTCCCATGCTGCTGGAGAGCAGGGAGGAGGTTGTCTCTAAAGCAGAGGTTTGTGCTTGAGTCGAAGAGAGAAAAGCTGTAGCGTCAGGCGGAGACGTTTCCTGAGAAACGCTGGTGGAGTTTTCCAGCATGGTGGTTGTGGCGATCACAGTGCTTTCCTCCAGAGTGGATGCACCAGTAGCACTGGAGGTTGCTGGAAAAGAGGAAATGGGTGTAGAAGTTGCCAAAGTTGTGGAAATGATCTCCTCGGATGTGCTCAGAAGAGGGGATGTGGTGGCTGTAGTTGGGCTTGTGCCTGGAGCAGTGGAGGATGATGTTACAAGGACTGCGGTTGTGGGGGATTCTTTTATCTGGGTCGTTGTGGAGGCTACATTGGAAGTAGAATATGTTCCACCTGTACTAGGAGAGACTGCAGTGGTTGTTTGTGGTACTGGGCTCGTTGTTCCCATGCTGCTGGAGAGCAGGGAGGAGGCTGTTTCTAAAGCAGAGGTTTGTGCTTGAGTCGAAGAGAGTAAAGCTGTAGTGTCAGGAGGAGACGTTTCCTGGGAAACACTGGTGGAGGTTTCCAGCATGGTGGTTGTGGCGATCACAGTGCTTTCCCCCAGAGTGGATGCACCAGTGTTGGTAGCACTGCTTGTCTCTGGAAAAGAGGAAATGGGTGTAGAAGTTGCCAAAGTTGTGGAAATGATCTCCTCAGATGTGCTCAGAAGAGGGGATGTGCTGGCTGTAGTTGGGCTTGTGCCTGGAGCAGTGGAGGATGATGTTACAAGGACTGAGGTTGTGGGGGATTCTGTTATCTGGGTAGTTGTGGAGGCTACATTGGAAGTAGAAGATGTTCCACCTGTACTAGGAGTGGCTGCAGTGGTTGTTTGTGGTACTGGGCTCGTTGCTCCCATGCTGCTTGAGAGCAGGGAGGAGGTTGTTTCTAAAGCAGAGGTTTGTGCTTGAGTCGAAGAGAGTAAAGCTGTAGTGTCAGGCGGAGACGTTTTCTGGGAAACACTGGTGGAGGTTTCCAGCATGGTGGTTGGGGCGATCACAGTGCTTTCCTCCAGAGTGGATGCACCAGTGTTGGTAGCACTGGTTGTCTCTGGAAAAGAGGAAATGGGTGTAGAAGTTGCCAAAGTTGTGGAAATGATCTCCTCGGATGTGTTCAGCAGAGGGGATGTGCTGGCTGTAGCTGGGCTTGTGCCTGGAGCGGTAAAGGATGATGTTACAAGGACTGCGGTTGTGGGGGATTCTTTTATCTGGGTAGTTGTGGAGGCTACATTGGAAGTAGAAGATATTCCACCTGTACTAGGAGTGGCTGCAGTGGTTGTTTGTGGTACTGGGCTCTTTGCTCCCATGCTGCTGGAGAGCAGGGAGGAGGTTGTCTCTAAAGCAGAGGTTTGTGCTTGAGTCGAAGAGAGAAAAGCTGTAGCGTCAGGCGGAGACGTTTCCTGGGAAACGCTGGTGGAGGTTTCCAGCATGGTGGTTGTGGCGATCACAGTGCTTTCCTCCAGAGTGGATGCACCAGTAGCACTGGAGGTTGCTGGAAAAGAGGAAATGGGTGTAGAAGTTGCCAAAGTTTTGGAAATGATCTCCTCGGATGTGCTCAGAAGAGGGGATGTGGTGGCTGTAGTTGGGCTTGTGCCTGGAGCAGTGGAGGATGATGTTACAAGGACTGCGGTTGAGGGGGATTCTTTTATCTGGGTAGTTGTGGAGGCTACATTGGAAGTAGAAGATGTTCCACCTGTACTAGGAGTGGCTGCAGTGGTTGTTTGTGGTACTGGGCTCGTTGTTCCCATGCTGCTGGAGAGCAGGGAGGAGGTTGTTTCTAAAGCAGAGGTTTGTGCTTGAGTCGAAGAGAGTAAAGCTGTAGTGTCAGGCGGAGACGTTTCCTGGGAAACACTGGTGGAGGTTTCCAGCATGGTGGTTGTGGCGATCACAGTGCTTTCCTCCAGAGTGGATGCACCAGTAGCACTGGAGGTTGCTGGAAAAGAGGAAATGGGTGTAGAAGTTGCCAAAGTTGTGGAAATGATCTCCTCAGATGTGCTCAGAAGAGGGGATTTGGTGGTTGTAGTTGGGCTTGTGCCTGGAGCAGTGGAGGATGACGTTACAAGGACTTCAGTTGTGGGAGATTCTGTTATCTGTGTAGCTGTCGAGGTGACAGCGGGAGCAGAAGATGTTCTACTTGTGCTAGGAGTGACTGCAGTGGTTGGTTGAGCTGCTGGGCTTGTTGTTCCCATGCTGCTGGAGAGCAGGGAGGAGGTTGTCTCTAAAGCAGAGGTTTGTGCTTGAGTCGAAGAGAGAAAAGCTGTAGCGTCAGGCGGAGACGTTTCCTGGGAAACGCTGGTGGAGGTTTCCAGCATGGTGGTTGTGGCGATCACAGTGCTTTCCTCTAGAGTGGATGCACCAGTAGCACTGGAGGTTGCTGGAAAAGAGGAAATGGGTGTAGAAGTTGCCAAAGTTGTGGAAATGATCTCCTCGGATGTGCTCAGAAGGGGGGATGTGGTGGCTGTAGCTGGGCTTGTGCCTGGAGCAGTGGAGGATGAGGTTACAAGGACTGCGGTTGTGGGGGATTCTTTTATCTGGGTCGTTGTGGAGGCTACATTGGAAGTAGAATATGTTCCACCTGTACTAGGAGAGACTGCAGTGGTTGTTTGTGGTACTGGGCTCGTTGTTCCCATGCTGCTTGAGAGCAGGGAGGAGGTTGTTTCTAAAGCAGAGGTTTGTGCTTGAGTCGAAGAGAGAAATGCTGTAGTGTCAGGCGGAGACGTTTCCTGGGAAACACTGGTGGAGGTTTCCAGCATGGTGGTTGTGGCGATCACAGTGCTTTCCTCCAGAGTTGATGCACCAGTGTTGGTAGCACTGGTTGTCTCTGGAAAAGAGGAAATGGGTGTAGAAGTTGCCAAAGTTGTGGAAATGATCTCCTCGGATGTGTCCAGAAGAGGGGATGTGCTGGCTGTAGTTGGGCTTGTTGCTGGAGCAATGGAGGATGATGTTACAAGGACTGCGGTTGTGGGGGATTCTGTTATCTGTGTAGCTGTCGAGGTGACAGCGGGAGCAGAAGATGTTCCACGTGTACTAGGAGTGGCTGCAGTGGTTGTTTCAGGTGCTGCGCTCGTTGTTCCCATGCTGCTGGAGAGCAGGGAGGAGGTTGTCTCTAAAGCAGAGGTTTGTGCTTGAGTCGAAGAGAGAAAAGCTGTAGCGTCAGGCGGAGACGTTTCCTGGGAAACGCTGGTGGAGGTTTCCAGCATGGTGGTTGTGGCGATCACAGTGCTTTCCTCCAGAGTGGATGCACCAGTAGCACTGGAGGTTGCTGGAAAAGAGGAAATGGGTGTAGAAGTTGCCAAAGTTTTGGAAATGATCTCCTCGGATGTGCTCAGAAGAGGGGATGTGGTGGCTGTAGTTGGGCTTGTGCCTGGAGCAGTGGAGGATGATGTTACAAGGACTGCGGTTGTGGGGGATTCTTTTATCTGGGTAGTTGTGGAGGCTACATTGGAAGTAGAATATGTTCCACCTGTACTAGGAGAGACTGCAGTGGTTGTTTGTGGTACTGGGCTCGTTGTACCCATGCTGCTTGAGAGCAGGGAGGAGGTTGTTTCTAAAGCAGAGGTTTGTGCTTGAGTCGAAGAGAGAAAAGCTGTAGTGTCAGGCGGAGACGTTTCCTGGGAAACACTGGTGGAGGTTTCCAGCATGGTGGTTGTGGCGATCACAGTGCTTTCCTCCAGAGTGGATGCACCAGTAGCACTGGTTGTCTCTGGAAAAGAGGAAATGGGTGTAGAAGTTGCCAAAGTTGTGGAAATGATCTCCTCGGATGTGTTCAGAAAAGGGGATGTGGTGGCTGTAGTTTGGCTTGTGCCTGGAGCAGTGGAGGATGATGTTACAAGGACTGCGGTTGTGGGGGATTCTGTTATCTGGGTAGTTGTGGAGGCTTCATTGGAAGTAGATGTTCCACCTGTACTAGGAGTGGCTGCAGTGGTTGTTTGTGGTACTGGGCTCGTTGTTCCCATGCTGCTGGAGAGCACGGAGGAGGCTGTTTCTAAAGCAGAGGTTTGTGCTTGAGTCGAAGAGAGTAAAGCTGTAGTGTCAGGAGGAGACGTTTCCTGGGAAACACTGGTGGAGGTTTCCAGCATGGTGGTTGTGGCGATCACAGTGCTTTCCCCCAGAGTGGATGCACCAGTGTTGGTAGCACTGCTTGTCTCTGGAAAAGAGGAAATGGGTGTAGAAGTTGCCAAAGTTGTGGAAATGATCTCCTCAGATGTGCTCAGAAGAGGGGATGTGCTGGCTGTAGTTGGGCTTGTGCCTGGAGCAGTGGAGGATGATGTTACAAGGACTGAGGTTGTGGGGGATTCTGTTATCTGGGTAGTTGTGGAGGCTACATTGGAAGTAGAAGATGTTCCACCTGTACTAGGAGTGGCTGCAGTGGTTGTTTGTGGTACTGGGCTCGTTGCTCCCATGCTGCTTGAGAGCAGGGAGGAGGTTGTTTCTAAAGCAGAGGTTTGTGCTTGAGTCGAAGAGAGTAAAGCTGTAGTGTCAGGCGGAGACGTTTTCTGGGAAACACTGGTGGAGGTTTCCAGCATGGTGGTTGGGGCGATCACAGTGCTTTCCTCCAGAGTGGATGCACCAGTGTTGGTAGCACTGGTTGTCTCTGGAAAAGAGGAAATGGGTGTAGAAGTTGCCAAAGTTGTGGAAATGATCTCCTCGGATGTGTTCAGCAGAGGGGATGTGCTGGCTGTAGCTGGGCTTGTGCCTGGAGCGGTAAAGGATGATGTTACAAGGACTGCGGTTGTGGGGGATTCTTTTATCTGGGTAGTTGTGGAGGCTACATTGGAAGTAGAAGATATTCCACCTGTACTAGGAGTGGCTGCAGTGGTTGTTTGTGGTACTGGGCTCGTTGCTCCCATGCTGCTGGAGAGCAGGGAGGAGGTTGTCTCTAAAGCAGAGGTTTGTGCTTGAGTCGAAGAGAGAAAAGCTGTAGCGTCAGGCGGAGACGTTTCCTGGGAAACACTGGTGGAGGTTTCCAGCATGGTGGTTGTGGCGATCACAGTGCTTTCCTCCAGAGTGGATGCACCAGTAGCACTGGAGGTTGCTGGAAAAGAGGAAATGGGTGTAGAAGTTGCCAAAGTTGTGGAAATGATCTCCTCGGATGTGCTCAGAAGAGGGGATTTGGTGGTTGTAGTTGGGCTTGTGCCTGGAGCAGTGGAGGATGACGTTACAAGGACTTCAGTTGTGGGAGATTCTGTTATCTGTGTAGCTGTCGAGGTGACAGCGGGAGCAGAAGATGTTCTACCTGTGCTAGGAGTGGCTGCAGTGGTTGTTTCAGGTGCTGCGCTCGTTGTTCCCATGCTGCTGGAGAGCAGGGAGGAGGTTGTCTCTAAAGCAGAGGTTTGTGCTTGAGTCGAAGAGAGAAAAGCTGTAGCGTCAGGCGGAGACGTTTCCTGGGAAACGCTGGTGGAGGTTTCCAGCATGGTGGTTGTGGCGATCACAGTGCTTTCCTCCAGAGTGGATGCACCAGTAGCACTGGAGGTTGCTGGAAAAGAGGAAATGGGTGTAGAAGTTGCCAAAGTTGTGGAAATGATCTCCTCGGATGTGCTCAGAAGAGGGGATGTGGTGGCTGTAGTTGGGCTTGTGCCTGGAGCAGTGGAGGATGATGTTACAAGGACTGCGGTTGTGGGGGATTCTTTTATCTGGGTAGTTGTGGAGGCTACATTGGAAGTAGAAGATGTTCCACCTGTACTAGGAGAGACTGCAGTGGTTGTTTGTGGTACTGGGCTCGTTGTACCCATGCTGCTTGAGAGCAGGGAGGAGGTTGTTTCTAAAGCAGAGGTTTGTGCTTGAGTCGAAGAGAGAAAAGCTGTAGTGTCAGGCGGAGACGTTTCCTGGGAAACACTGGTGGAGGTTTCCAGCATGGTGGTTGTGGCGATCACAGTGCTTTCCTCCAGAGTGGATGCACCAGTAGCACTGGTTGTCTCTGGAAAAGAGGAAATGGGTGTAGAAGTTGCCAAAGTTGTGGAAATGATCTCCTCGGATGTGTTCAGAAAAGGGGATGTGGTGGCTGTAGTTTGGCTTGTGCCTGGAGCAGTGGAGGATGATGTTACAAGGACTGCGGTTGTGGGGGATTCTGTTATCTGGGTAGTTGTGGAGGCTACATTGGAAGTAGATGTTCCACCTGTACTAGGAGTGGCTGCAGTGGTTGTTTGTGGTACTGGGCTCGTTGTTCCCATGCTGCTGGAGAGCAGGGAGGAGGTTGTTTCTAAAGCAGAGGATTGTGCTTGAGTCGAAAAGAGTAAAGCTGTAGTGTCAGAAGGAGACGTTTCCTGGGAAACACTGGTGGAGGTTTCCAGCATGGTGGTTGTGGCGATCACAGTGCTTTCCTCCAGAGTGGATGCACCAGTGTTGGTAGCACTGCTTGTCTCTGGAAAAGAGGAAATGGGTGTAGAAGTTGCCAAAGTTGTGGAAATGATCTCCTCGGATGTGCTCAGAAAAGGGGATTTGGTGGTTGTAGTTGGGCTTGTGCCTGGAGCAGTGGAGGATGACGTTACAAGGACTTCAGTTGTGGGAGATTCTGTTACCTGTGTAGCTGTCGAGGTGACAGCGGGAGCAGAAGATGTTCTACTTGTGCTAGGAGTGACTGCAGTGGTTGGTTGAGCTGCTGGGCTTGTTGTTCCCATGCTGCTGGAGAGCAGGGAGGAGGTTGTCTCTAAAGCAGAGGTTTGTGCTTGAGTCGAAGAGAGAAAAGCTGTAGCGTCAGGCGGAGACGTTTCCTGGGAAACGCTTGTGGAGGTTTCCAGCATGGTGGTTGTGGCGATCACAGTGCTTTCCTCTAGAGTGGATGCACCAGTAGCACTGGAGGTTGCTGGAAAAGAGGAAATGGGTGTAGAAGTTGCCAAAGTTGTGGAAATGATCTCCTCGGATGTGCTCAGAAGGGGGGATGTGGTGGCTGTGGCTGGGCTTGTGCCTGGAGCAGTGGAGGATGAGGTTACAAGGACTGCGGTTGTGGGGGATTCTTTTATCTGGGTCGTTGTGGAGGCTACATTGGAAGTAGAATATGTTCCACCTGTACTAGGAGAGACTGCAGTGGTTGTTTGTGGTACTGGGCTCGTTGTTCCCATGCTGCTTGAGAGCAGGGAGGAGGTTGTTTCTAAAGCAGAGGTTTGTGCTTGAGTCGAAGAGAGAAATGCTGTAGTGTCAGGCGGAGACGTTTCCTGGGAAACACTGGTGGAGGTTTCCAGCATGGTGGTTGTGGCGATCACAGTGCTTTCCTCCAGAGTTGATGCACCAGTGTTGGTAGCACTGGTTGTCTCTGGAAAAGAGGAAATGGGTGTAGAAGTTGCCAAAGTTGTGGAAATGATCTCCTCGGATGTGTCCAGAAGAGGGGATGTGCTGGCTGTAGTTGGGCTTGTTGCTGGAGCAATGGAGGATGATGTTACAAGGACTGCGGTTGTGGGGGATTCTGTTATCTGTGTAGCTGTCGAGGTGACAGCGGGAGCAGAAGATGTTCCACGTGTACTAGGAGTGGCTGCAGTGGTTGTTTCAGGTGCTGCGCTCGTTGTTCCCATGCTGCTGGAGAGCAGGGAGGAGGTTGTCTCTAAAGCAGAGGTTTGTGCTTGAGTCGAAGAGAGAAAAGCTGTAGCGTCAGGCGGAGACGTTTCCTGGGAAACGCTGGTGGAGGTTTCCAGCATGGTGGTTGTGGCGATCACAGTGCTTTCCTCCAGAGTGGATGCACCAGTAGCACTGGAGGTTGCTGGAAAAGAGGAAATGGGTGTAGAAGTTGCCAAAGTTTTGGAAATGATCTCCTCGGATGTGCTCAGAAGAGGGGATGTGGTGGCTGTAGTTGGGCTTGTGCCTGGAGCAGTGGAGGATGATGTTACAAGGACTGCGGTTGTGGGGGATTCTTTTATCTGGGTAGTTGTGGAGGCTACATTGGAAGTAGAAGATGTTCCACCTGTACTAGGAGAGACTGCAGTGGTTGTTTGTGGTACTGGGCTCGTTGTACCCATGCTGCTTGAGAGCAGGGAGGAGGTTGTTTCTAAAGCAGAGGTTTGTGCTTGAGTCGAAGAGAGAAAAGCTGTAGTGTCAGGCGGAGACGTTTCCTGGGAAACACTGGTGGAGGTTTCCAGCATGGTGGTTGTGGCGATCACAGTGCTTTCCTCCAGAGTGGATGCACCAGTAGCACTGGTTGTCTCTGGAAAAGAGGAAATGGGTGTAGAAGTTGCCAAAGTTGTGGAAATGATCTCCTCGGATGTGTTCAGAAAAGGGGATGTGGTGGCTGTAGTTTGGCTTGTGCCTGGAGCAGTGGAGGATGATGTTACAAGGACTGCGGTTGTGGGGGATTCTGTTATCTGGGTAGTTGTGGAGGCTTCATTGGAAGTAGATGTTCCACCTGTACTAGGAGTGGCTGCAGTGGTTGTTTGTGGTACTGGGCTCGTTGTTCCCATGCTGCTGGAGAGCAGGGAGGAGGCTGTTTCTAAAGCAGAGGTTTGTGCTTGAGTCGAAGAGAGTAAAGCTGTAGTGTCAGGAGGAGACGTTTCCTGGGAAACACTGGTGGAGGTTTCCAGCATGGTGGTTGTGGCGATCACAGTGCTTTCCCCCAGAGTGGATGCACCAGTGTTGGTAGCACTGCTTGTCTCTGGAAAAGAGGAAATGGGTGTAGAAGTTGCCAAAGTTGTGGAAATGATCTCCTCAGATGTGCTCAGAAGAGGGGATGTGCTGGCTGTAGTTGGGCTTGTGCCTGGAGCAGTGGAGGATGATGTTACAAGGACTGAGGTTGTGGGGGATTCTGTTATCTGGGTAGTTGTGGAGGCTACATTGGAAGTAGAAGATGTTCCACCTGTACTAGGAGTGGCTGCAGTGGTTGTTTGTGGTACTGGGCTCGTTGCTCCCATGCTGCTTGAGAGCAGGGAGGAGGTTGTTTCTAAAGCAGAGGTTTGTGCTTGAGTCGAAGAGAGTAAAGCTGTAGTGTCAGGCGGAGACGTTTTCTGGGAAACACTGGTGGAGGTTTCCAGCATGGTGGTTGGGGCGATCACAGTGCTTTCCTCCAGAGTGGATGCACCAGTGTTGGTAGCACTGGTTGTCTCTGGAAAAGAGGAAATGGGTGTAGAAGTTGCCAAAGTTGTGGAAATGATCTCCTCGGATGTGTTCAGCAGAGGGGATGTGCTGGCTGTAGTTGGGCTTGTGCCTGGAGCGGTAAAGGATGATGTTACAAGGACTGCGGTTGTGGGGGATTCTTTTATCTGGGTAGTTGTGGAGGCTACATTGGAAGTAGAAGATATTCCACCTGTACTAGGAGTGGCTGCAGTGGTTGTTTGTGGTACTGGGCTCGTTGCTCCCATGCTGCTGGAGAGCAGGGAGGAGGTTGTCTCTAAAGCAGAGGTTTGTGCTTGAGTCGAAGAGAGAAAAGCTGTAGCGTCAGGCGGAGACGTTTTCTGGGAAACACTGGTGGAGGTTTCCAGCATGGTGGTTGTGGCGATCACAGTGCTTTCCTCCAGAGTGGATGCACCAGTAGCACTGGAGGTTGCTGGAAAAGAGGAAATGGGTGTAGAAGTTGCCAAAGTTGTGGAAATGATCTCCTCGGATGTGCTCAGAAGAGGGGATTTGGTGGTTGTAGTTGGGCTTGTGCCTGGAGCAGTGGAGGATGACGTTACAAGGACTTCAGTTGTGGGAGATTCTGTTATCTGTGTAGCTGTCGAGGTGACAGCGGGAGCAGAAGATGTTCTACCTGTGCTAGGAGTGGCTGCAGTGGTTGTTTCAGGTGCTGCGCTCGTTGTTCCCATGCTGCTGGAGAGCAGGGAGGAGGTTGTCTCTAAAGCAGAGGTTTGTGCTTGAGTCGAAGAGAGAAAAGCTGTAGCGTCAGGCGGAGACGTTTCCTGGGAAACGCTGGTGGAGGTTTCCAGCATGGTGGTTGTGGCGATCACAGTGCTTTCCTCCAGAGTGGATGCACCAGTAGCACTGGAGGTTGCTGGAAAAGAGGAAATGGGTGTAGAAGTTGCCAAAGTTGTGGAAATGATCTCCTCGGATGTGCTCAGAAGAGGGGATGTGGTGGCTGTAGTTGGGCTTGTGCCTGGAGCAGTGGAGGATGATGTTACAAGGACTGCGGTTGTGGGGGATTCTTTTATCTGGGTAGTTGTGGAGGCTACATTGGAAGTAGAATATGTTCCACCTGTACTAGGAGAGACTGCAGTGGTTGTTTGTGGTACTGGGCTCGTTGTACCCATGCTGCTTGAGAGCAGGGAGGAGGTTGTTTCTAAAGCAGAGGTTTGTGCTTGAGTCGAAGAGAGAAAAGCTGTAGTGTCAGGCGGAGACGTTTCCTGGGAAACACTGGTGGAGGTTTCCAGCATGGTGGTTGTGGCGATCACAGTGCTTTCCTCCAGAGTGGATGCACCAGTAGCACTGGTTGTCTCTGGAAAAGAGGAAATGGGTGTAGAAGTTGCCAAAGTTGTGGAAATGATCTCCTCGGATGTGTTCAGAAAAGGGGATGTGGTGGCTGTAGTTTGGCTTGTGCCTGGAGCAGTGGAGGATGATGTTACAAGGACTGCGGTTGTGGGGGATTCTGTTATCTGGGTAGTTGTGGAGGCTTCATTGGAAGTAGATGTTCCACCTGTACTAGGAGTGGCTGCAGTGGTTGTTTGTGGTACTGGGCTCGTTGTTCCCATGCTGCTGGAGAGCAGGGAGGAGGTTGTTTCTAAAGCAGAGGATTGTGCTTGAGTCGAAAAGAGTAAAGCTGTAGTGTCAGAAGGAGACGTTTCCTGGGAAACACTGGTGGAGGTTTCCAGCATGGTGGTTGTGGCGATCACAGTGCTTTCCTCCAGAGTGGATGCACCAGTGTTGGTAGCACTGCTTGTCTCTGGAAAAGAGGAAATGGGTGTAGAAGTTGCCAAAGTTGTGGAAATGATCTCCTCGGATGTGCTCAGAAAAGGGGATTTGGTGGTTGTAGTTGGGCTTGTGCCTGGAGCAGTGGAGGATGACGTTACAAGGACTCCAGTTGTGGGAGATTCTGTTACCTGTGTAGCTGTCGAGGTGACAGCGGGAGCAGAAGATGTTCTACCTGTGCTAGGAGTGACTGCAGTGGTTGGTTGAGCTGCTGGGCTTGTTGTTCCCATGCTGCTGGAGAGCAGGGAGGAGGTTGTCTCTAAAGCAGAGGTTTGTGCTTGAGTCGAAGAGAGAAAAGCTGTAGCGTCAGGCGGAGACGTTTCCTGAGAAACGCTGGTGGAGTTTTCCAGCATGGTGGTTGTGGCGATCACAGTGCTTTCCTCCAGAGTGGATGCACCAGTAGCACTGGAGGTTGCTGGAAAAGAGGAAATGGGTGTAGAAGTTGCCAAAGTTGTGGAAATGATCTCCTCGGATGTGCTCAGAAGAGGGGATGTGGTGGCTGTAGTTGGGCTTGTGCCTGGAGCAGTGGAGGATGAGGTTACAAGGACTGCGGTTGTGGGGGATTCTTTTATCTGGGTCGTTGTGGAGGCTACATTGGAAGTAGAATATGTTCCACCTGTACTAGGAGAGACTGCAGTGGTTGTTTGTGGTACTGGGCTCGTTGTTCCCATGCTGCTGGAGAGCAGGGAGGAGGCTGTTTCTAAAGCAGAGGTTTGTGCTTGAGTCGAAGAGAGTAAAGCTGTAGTGTCAGGAGGAGACGTTTCCTGGGAAACACTGGTGGAGGTTTCCAGCATGGTGGTTGTGGCGATCACAGTGCTTTCCCCCAGAGTGGATGCACCAGTGTTGGTAGCACTGCTTGTCTCTGGAAAAGAGGAAATGGGTGTAGAAGTTGCCAAAGTTGTGGAAATGATCTCCTCAGATGTGCTCAGAAGAGGGGATGTGCTGGCTGTAGTTGGGCTTGTGCCTGGAGCAGTGGAGGATGATGTTACAAGGACTGAGGTTGTGGGGGATTCTGTTATCTGGGTAGTTGTGGAGGCTACATTGGAAGTAGAAGATGTTCCACCTGTACTAGGAGTGGCTGCAGTGGTTGTTTGTGGTACTGGGCTCGTTGCTCCCATGCTGCTTGAGAGCAGGGAGGAGGTTGTTTCTAAAGCAGAGGTTTGTGCTTGAGTCGAAGAGAGTAAAGCTGTAGTGTCAGGCGGAGACGTTTTCTGGGAAACACTGGTGGAGGTTTCCAGCATGGTGGTTGGGGCGATCACAGTGCTTTCCTCCAGAGTGGATGCACCAGTGTTGGTAGCACTGGTTGTCTCTGGAAAAGAGGAAATGGGTGTAGAAGTTGCCAAAGTTGTGGAAATGATCTCCTCGGATGTGTTCAGCAGAGGGGATGTGCTGGCTGTAGCTGGGCTTGTGCCTGGAGCAGTGGAGGATGATGTTACAAGGACTGCGGTTGTGGGGGATTCTTTTCTCTGGGTAGTTGTGGAGGCTACATTGGAAGTAGAAGATATTCCACCTGTACTAGGAGTGGCTGCAGTGGTTGTTTGTGGTACTGGGCTCGTTGCTCCCATGCTGCTGGAGAGCAGGGAGGAGGTTGTCTCTAAAGCAGAGGTTTGTGCTTGAGTCGAAGAGAGAAAAGCTGTAGCGTCAGGCGGAGACGTTTCCTGGGAAACGCTGGTGGAGGTTTCCAGCATGGTGGTTGTGGCGATCACAGTGCTTTCCTCCAGAGTGGATGCACCAGTAGCACTGGAGGTTGCTGGAAAAGAGGAAATGGGTGTAGAAGTTGCCAAAGTTGTGGAAATGATCTCCTCGGATGTGCTCAGAAGAGGGGATTTGGTGGTTGTAGTTGGGCTTGTGCCTGGAGCAGTGGAGGATGACGTTACAAGGACTTCAGTTGTGGGAGATTCTGTTATCTGTGTAGCTGTCGAGGTGACAGCGGGAGCAGAAGATGTTCTACCTGTGCTAGGAGTGACTGCAGTGGTTGGTTGAGCTGCTGGGCTTGTTGTTCCCATGCTGCTGGAGAGCAGGGAGGAGGTTGTCTCTAAAGCAGAGGTTTGTGCTTGAGTCGAAGAGAGAAAAGCTGTAGCGTCAGGCGGAGACGTTTCCTGGGAAACGCTTGTGGAGGTTTCCAGCATGGTGGTTGTGGCGATCACAGTGCTTTCCTCTAGAGTGGATGCACCAGTAGCACTGGAGGTTGCTGGAAAAGAGGAAATGGGTGTAGAAGTTGCCAAAGCTGTGGAAATGATCTCCTCGGATGTGCTCAGAAGGGGGGATGTGGTGGCTGTAGTTGGGGTTGTGCCTGGAGCAGTGGAGGATGATGTTACAAGTACTGCGGTTGTGGGGGATTCTTTTATCTGGGTCGTTGTGGAGGCTACATTGGAAGTAGAATATGTTCCACCTGTACTAGGAGTGGCTGCAGTGGTTGTTTTTGGTACAGGGCTCGTTGTTCCCATGCTGCTGGAGAGCAGGGTGGACGTTTTCTCTATAGCAGTGGTTTGTGCTTGTGTCGAAGAGAGTAAAGCTGCAGTGTCAGGCTTAGACGTTTCCTGGGAAACACTGGTGGAGATTTCCAGCATGGTGGTTGTGGCGATCACAGTGCTTTCCTCCAGAGTGGATGCACCAGTGTTGGTAGCAGTGGTTGTCTCTGGAAAAGAGGAAATGGGTGTAGAAGTTGCCAAAGTTGTGGAAATGATCTCCTCGGATGTGTTCAGAAGAGGGGATGTGCTGGCTGTAGTTGGGCTTGTTGCTGGAGCAGTGGAGGATGATGTTACAAGGACTGCGGTTGTGGGGGATTCTGTTATCTGGGTAGTTGTGGAGGCTACATTGGAAGTAGAAGATATTCCACCTGTACTAGGAGTGACTGCAGTGGTTGTTTCAGGTGCTGCGCTCGTTGTTCCCATGCTGCTGGAGAGCAGGGAGGAGGTTGTCTCTAAAGCAGAGGTTTGTGCTTGAGTCGAAGAGAGAAAAGCTGTAGCGTCAGGCGGAGACGTTTCCTGGGAAACGCTGGTGGAGGTTTCCAGCATGGTGGTTGTGGCGATCACAGTGCTTTCCTCCAGAGTGGATGCACCAGTAGCACTGGAGGTTGCTGGAAAAGAGGAAATGGGTGTAGAAGTTGCCAAAGTTGTGGAAATGATCTCCCTGGATGTGCTCAGAAGAGGGGATGTGGTGGCTGTAGTTGGGCTTGTGCCTGGAGCAGTGGAGGATGATGTTACAAGGACTGCGGTTGTGGGGGATTCTTTTATCTGGGTAGTTTTGGAGGCTACATTGGAAGTAGAATATGTTCCACCTGTACTAGGAGAGACTGCAGTGGTTGTTTGTGGTACTGGGCTCGTTGTTCCCATGCTGCTGGAGAGCAGGGAGGAAGTTGTTTCTAAAGCAGAGGTTTGTGCTTGAGTCGAAGAGAGTAAAGCTGTAGTGTCAGGCGGAGACGTTTCCTGGGAAACGCTGGTGGAGGTTTCCAGCATGGTGGTTGTGGCGATCACAGTGCTTTCCTCCAGAGTGGATGCACCAGTGTTGGTAGCACTGCTTGTCTCTGGAAAAGAGGAAATGGGTGTAGAAGTTGCCAAAGTTGTGGAAATGATCTCCTCGGATGTGCTCAGAAAAGGGGATTTGGTGGTTGTAGTTGGGCTTGTGCCTGGAGCAGTGGAGGATGACGTTACAAGGACTCCAGTTGTGGGAGATTCTGTTACCTGTGTAGCTGTCGAGGTGACAGCGGGAGCAGAAGATGTTCTACCTGTGCTAGGAGTGACTGCAGTGGTTGGTTGAGCTGCTGGGCTTGTTGTTCCCATGCTGCTGGAGAGCAGGGAGGAGGTTGTCTCTAAAGCAGAGGTTTGTGCTTGAGTCGAAGAGAGAAAAGCTGTAGCGTCAGGCGGAGACGTTTCCTGGGAAACGCTGGTGGATGTTTCCAGCATGGTGGTTGTGGCGATCACAGCGCTTTCCTCCAGAGTGGATGCACCAGTGTTGGTAGCACTGGTTGTCTCTGGAAAAGAGGAAATGGGTGTAGAATTTGCCAAAGTTGTGAAAATGATCTCCTCGGATGTGCTCAGAAGAGGGGATGTGGTGGCTGTAGTTGGGCTTGTGCCTGGAGCAGTGGAGGATGATGTTACAAGGACTGCGGTTGTGGGGGATTCTTTTATCTGGGTAGTTGTGGACGCTACATTGGAAGTAGAAGATGTTCCACCTGTACTAGGAGCGGCTGCAGTGGTTGTTTGTGGTACTGGGCTCGTTGCTCCCATGCTGCTGGAGAGCAGGGAGGAGGTTGTCTCTAAAGCAGAGGTTTGTGCTTGAGTCGAAGAGAGAAAAGCTGTAGCGTCAGGCGGAGACGTTTCCTGGGAAACGCTGGTGGATGTTTCCAGCATGGTGGTTGTGGCGATCACAGTGCTTTCCTGTAGAGTGGATGCACCAGTAGCACTGGAGGTTGCTGGAAAAGAGGAAATGGGTGTAGAAGTTGCCAAAGTTGTGGAAATGATCTCCTCGGATGTGCTCAGAAGAGGAGATGCGGTGGCTGTAGTTGGGCTTGTGCCTGGAGCAGTGGAGGATGATGTTACAAGGACTGCGGTTGTGGGGGATTCTTTTATCTGGGTAGTTGTGGAGGCTACATTGGAAGTAGAAGATGTTCCACCTGTACTAGGAGAGGCTGCAGTGGTTGTTTTTGGTACAGGGCTCGTTGTTCCCATGCTGCTTGAGAGCATGGTGGTCGTTTTCTCTATAGCAGAGATTTGTCCTTGTGTCGAAGAGAGTAAAGCTGCAGTGTCAGGTGGAGACGTTTCCTGGGAAACACTGGTGGAGTTTTCCAGCATGGTGGTTGTGGCGATCACAGTGCTTTCCTCCAGAGTGGATGCACCAGTGTTGGTAGCACTGGTTGTCTCTGGAAAAGAGGAAATGGGTGTAGAAGTTGCCAAAGTTGTGGAAATGATCTCCTCGGATGTGCTCAGAAAAGGGGATTTGGTGGTTGTAGTTGGGCTTGTGCCTGGAGCAGTGGAGGATGACGTTACAAGGACTCCGGTTGTGGGAGATTCTGTTACCTGTGTAGCTGTCGAGGTGACAGCGGGAGCAGAAGATGTTCTACCTGTGCTAGGAGTGACTGCAGTGGTTGGTTGAGCTGCTGGGCTTGTTGTTCCCATGCTGCTGGAGAGCAGGGAGGAGGTTGTCTCTAAAGCAGAGGTTTGTGCTTGAGTCGAAGAGAGAAAAGCTGTAGCGTCAGGCGGAGACGTTTCCTGGGAAACGCTGGTGGAGGTTTCCAGCATGGTGGTTGTGGCGATCACAGTGCTTTCCTCCAGAGTGGATGCACCAGTAGCACTGGAGGTTGCTGGAAAAGAGGAAATGGGTGTAGAAGTTGCCAAAGTTGTGGAAATGATCTCCTCGGATGTGCTCAGAAGAGGGGATGTGGTGGCTGTAGTTGGGCTTGTGCCTGGAGCAGTGGAGGATGAGGTTACAAGGACTGCGGTTGTGGGGGATTCTTTTATCTGGGTCGTTGTGGAGGCTACATTGGAAGTAGAATATGTTCCACCTGTACTAGGAGAGACTGCAGTGGTTGTTTGTGGTACTGGGCTCGTTGTTGCCATGCTGCTGGAGAGCAGGGAGGAGGCTGTTTCTAAAGCAGAGGTTTGTGCTTGAGTCGAAGATAGTAAAGCTGTAGTGTCAGGCGGAGACGTTTCCTGTGAAACACTGGTGGAGGTTTCCAGCATGGTGGTTGTGGCGATCACAGTGCTTTCCCCCAGAGTGGATGCACCAGTGTTGGTAGCACTGCTTGTCTCTGGAAAAGAGGAAATGGGTGTAGAAGTTGCCAAAGTTGTGGAAATGATCTCCTCAGATGTGCTCAGAAGAGGGGATGTGCTGGCTGTAGTTGGGCTTGTGCCTGGAGCAGTGGAGGATGATGTTACAAGGACTGAGGTTGTGGGGGATTCTGTTATCTGGGTAGTTGTGGAGGCTACATTGGAAGTAGAAGATGTTCCACCTGTACTAGGAGTGGCTGCAGTGGTTGTTTGTGGTACTGGGCTCGTTGTTCCCATGCTGCTGGAGAGCAGGGAGGAGGTTGTTTCTAAAGCAGAGGTTTGTGCTTGAGTCGAAGAGAGTAAAGCTGTAGTGTCAGGCGGAGACGTTTTCTGGGAAACACTGGTGGAGGTTTCCAGCATGGTGGTTGGGGCGATCACAGTGCTTTCCTCCAGAGTGGATGCACCAGTGTTGGTAGCACTGGTTGTCTCTGGAAAAGAGGAAATGGGTGTAGAAGTTGCCAAAGTTGTGGAAATGATCTCCTCGGATGTGTTCAGCAGAGGGGATGTGCTGGCTGTAGTTGGGCTTGTGCCTGGAGCAATGGAGGATGATGTTACAAGGACTGCGGTTGTGGGGGATTCTTTTATCTGGGTAGTTGTGGAGGCTACATTGGAAGTAGAAGATATTCCACCTGTACTAGGAGTGGCTGCAGTGGTTGTTTGTGGTACTGGGCTCGTTGCTCCCATGCTGCTGGAGAGCAGGGAGGAGGTTGTCTCTAAAGCAGAGGTTTGTGCTTGAGTCGAAGAGAGAAAAGCTGTAGTGTCAGGCGGAGACGTTTTCTGGGAAACACTGGTGGAGGTTTCCAGCATGGTGGTTGGGGCGATCACAGTGCTTTCCCCCAGAGTGGATGCACCAGTGTTGGTAGCACTGGTTGTCTCTGGAAAAGAGGAAATGGGTGTAGAAGTTGCCAAAGTTGTGGAAATGATCTCCTCGGATGCGCTCAGAAGAGGGGATGTGGTGTCTGTAGTTGGGCTTGTGCCTGGGGCAGTGGAGGATGATGTTACAAGGACTGCGGTTGTGGGGGATTCTTTTATCTGGGTAGTTGTGGAGGCTACATTGGAAGTAGAAGATGTACCACCTGTACTAGGAGCGGCTGCAGTGGTTGTTTGTGGTACTGGGCTCGTTGCTCCCATGCTGCTGGAGAGCAGGGAGGAGGTTGTCTCTAAAGCAGAGGTTTGTGCTTGAGTCGAAGAGAGAAAAGCTGTAGCGTCAGGCGGAGACGTTTCCTGGGAAACGCTGGTGGATGTTTCCAGCATGGTGGTTGTGGCGATCACAGTGCTTTCCTGTAGAGTGGATGCACCAGTAGCACTGGAGGTTGCTGGAAAAGAGGAAATGGGTGTAGAAGTTGCCAAAGTTGTGGAAATGATCTCCTCGGATGTGCTCAGAAGAGGAGATGCGGTGGCTGTAGTTGGGCTTGTGCCTGGAGCAGTGGAGGATGATGTTACAAGGACTGCGGTTGTGGGGGATTCTTTTATCTGGGTAGTTGTGGAGGCTACATTGGAAGTAGAAGATGTTCCACCTGTACTAGGAGAGGCTGCAGTGGTTGTTTTTGGTACAGGGCTCGTTGTTCCCATGCTGCTTGAGAGCATGGTGGTCGTTTTCTCTATAGCAGAGATTTGTCCTTGTGTCGAAGAGAGTAAAGCTGCAGTGTCAGGTGGAGACGTTTCCTGGGAAACACTGGTGGAGTTTTCCAGCATGGTGGTTGTGGCGATCACAGTGCTTTCCTCCAGAGTGGATGCACCAGTGTTGGTAGCACTGGTTGTCTCTGGAAAAGAGGAAATGGGTGTAGAAGTTGCCAAAGTTGTGGAAATGATCTCCTCGGATGTGCTCAGAAAAGGGGATTTGGTGGTTGTAGTTGGGCTTGTGCCTGGAGCGGTGGAGGATGATGTTACAAGGACTTCGGTTGTGGGAGATTCTGTTATCTGTGTAGCTGTAGAGGTGACAGCGAGAGCAGAAGATGTTCTACCTGTGCTAGGAGTGACTGCAGTGGTTGGTTGAGCTGCTGGGCTTGTTGCTCCCATGCTGCTGGAGAGCAGGGAGGAGGTTGTCTCTAAAGCAGATGTTTGTGCTTGAGTCGAAGAGAGAAAAGCTGTAGCGTCAGGCGGAGACGTTTCCTGGGAAACGCTGGTGGAGGTTTCCAGCATGGTGGTTGTGGCGATCACAGTGCTTTCCTCCAGAGTGGATGCACCAGTGTTGGTAGCACTGCTTGTCTCTGGAAAAGAGGAAATGGGTGTAGAAGTTGCCAAAGTTGTGGAAATGATCTCCTCGGATGTGCTCAGAAAAGGGGATTTGGTGGTTGTAGTTGGGCTTGTGCCTGGAGCAGTGGAGGATGACGTTACAAGGACTCCGGTTGTGGGAGATTCTGTTACCTGTGTAGCTGTCGAGGTGACAGCGGGAGCAGAAGATGTTCTACCTGTGCTAGGAGTGACTGCAGTGGTTGGTTGAGCTGCTGGGCTTGTTGTTCCCATGCTGCTGGAGAGCAGGGAGGAGGTTGTCTCTAAAGCAGAGGTTTGTGCTTGAGTCGAAGAGAGAAAAGCTGTAGCGTCAGGCGGAGACGTTTCCTGGGAAACGCTGGTGGAGGTTTCCAGCATGGTGGTTGTGGCGATCACAGTGCTTTCCTCCAGAGTGGATGCACCAGTAGCACTGGAGGTTGCTGGAAAAGAGGAAATGGGTGTAGAAGTTGCCAAAGTTGTGGAAATGATCTCCTCGGATGTGCTCAGAAGAGGGGATGTGGTGGCTGTAGTTGGGCTTGTGCCTGGAGCAGTGGAGGATGAGGTTACAAGGACTGCGGTTGTGGGGGATTCTTTTATCTGGGTCGTTGTGGAGGCTACATTGGAAGTAGAATATGTTCCACCTGTACTAGGAGAGACTGCAGTGGTTGTTTGTGGTACTGGGCTCGTTGTTGCCATGCTGCTGGAGAGCAGGGAGGAGGCTGTTTCTAAAGCAGAGGTTTGTGCTTGAGTAGAAGAGAGTAAAGCTGTAGTGTCAGGAGGAGAGGTTTCCTGGGAAACACTGGTGGAGGTTTCCAGCATGGTGGTTGGGGCGATCACAGTGCTTTCCTCCAGAGTGGATGCACCAGTGTTGGTAGCACTGGTTGTCTCTGGAAAAGAGGAAATGGGTGTAGAAGTTGCCAAAGTTGTGGAAATGATCTCCTCAGATGTGCTCAGAAGAGGGGATGTGCTGGCTGTAGTTGGGCTTGTGCCTGGAGCAGTGGAGGATGATGTTACAAGGACTGAGGTTGTGGGGGATTCTGTTATCTGGGTAGTTGTGGAGGCTACATTGGAAGTAGAAGATGTTCCACCTGTACTAGGAGTGGCTGCAGTGGTTGTTTGTGGTACTGGGCTCGTTGCTCCCATGCTGCTTGAGAGCAGGGAGGAGGTTGTTTCTAAAGCAGAGGTTTGTGCTTGAGTCGAAGAGAGTAAAGCTGTAGTGTCAGGCGGAGACGTTTTCTGGGAAACACTGGTGGAGGTTTCCAGCATGGTGGTTGGGGCGATCACAGTGCTTTCCTCCAGAGTGGATGCACCAGTGTTGGTAGCACTGGTTGTCTCTGGAAAAGAGGAAATGGGTGTAGAAGTTGCCAAAGTTGTGGAAATGATCTCCTCGGATGTGTTCAGCAGAGGGGATGTGCTGGCTGTAGTTGGGCTTGTGCCTGGAGCAATGGAGGATGATGTTACAAGGACTGCGGTTGTGGGGGATTCTTTTATCTGGGTAGTTGTGGAGGCTACATTGGAAGTAGAAGATATTCCACCTGTACTAGGAGTGGCTGCAGTGGTTGTTTGTGGTACTGGGCTCGTTGCTCCCATGCTGCTGGAGAGCAGGGAGGAGGTTGTCTCTAAAGCAGAGGTTTGTGCTTGAGTCGAAGAGAGAAAAGCTGTAGTGTCAGGCGGAGACGTTTTCTGGGAAACACTGGTGGAGGTTTCCAGCATGGTGGTTGGGGCGATCACAGTGCTTTCCCCCAGAGTGGATGCACCAGTGTTGGTAGCACTGGTTGTCTCTGGAAAAGAGGAAATGGGTGTAGAAGTTGCCAAAGTTGTGGAAATGATCTCCTCGGATGCGCTCAGAAGAGGGGATGTGGTGTCTGTAGTTGGGCTTGTGCCTGGGGCAGTGGAGGATGATGTTACAAGGACTGCGGTTGTGGGGGATTCTTTTATCTGGGTAGTTGTGGAGGCTACATTGGAAGTAGAAGATGTACCACCTGTACTAGGAGCGGCTGCAGTGGTTGTTTGTGGTACTGGGCTCGTTGCTCCCATGCTGCTGGAGAGCAGGGAGGAGGTTGTCTCTAAAGCAGAGGTTTGTGCTTGAGTCGAAGAGAGAAAAGCTGTAGCGTCAGGCGGAGACGTTTCCTGGGAAACGCTGGTGGAGGTTTCCAGCATGGTGGTTGTGGCGATCACAGTGCTTTCCTGTAGAGTGGATGCACCAGTAGCACTGGAGGTTGCTGGAAAAGAGGAAATGGGTGTAGAAGTTGCCAAAGTTGCGGAAATGATCTCCTCGGATGTGCTCAGAAGAGGAGATGCGGTGGCTGTAGTTGGGCTTGTGCCTGGAGCAGTGGAGGATGATGTTACAAGGACTGCGGTTGTGGGGGATTCTTTTATCTGGGTAGTTGTGGAGGCTACATTGGAAGTAGAAGATGTTCCACCTGTACTAGGAGTGGCTGCAGTGGTTGTTTTTGGTACAGGGCTCGTTGTTCCCATGCTGCTTGAGAGCATGGTGGTCGTTTTCTCTATAGCAGAGGTTTGTCCTTGTGTCGAAGAGAGTAAAGCTGCAGTGTCAGGTGGAGACGTTTCCTGGGAAACACTGGTGGAGTTTTCCAGCATGGTGGTTGTGGCGATCACAGTGCTTTCCTCCAGAGTGGATGCACCAGTGTTGGTAGCACTGGTTGTCTCTGGAAAAGAGGAAATGGGTGTAGAAGTTGCCAAAGTTGTGGAAATGATCTCCTCGGATGTGCTCAGAAAAGGGGATTTGGTGGTTGTAGTTGGGCTTGTGCCTGGAGCGGTGGAGGATGATGTTACAAGGACTTCGGTTGTGGGAGATTCTGTTATCTGTGTAGCTGTAGAGGTGACAGCGAGAGCAGAAGATGTTCTACCTGTGCTAGGAGTGACTGCAGTGGTTGGTTGAGCTGCTGGGCTTGTTGCTCCCATGCTGCTGGAGAGCAGGGAGGAGGTTGTCTCTAAAGCAGAGGTTTGTGCTTGAGTCGAAGAGAGAAAAGCTGTAGCGTCAGGCGGAGACGTTTCCTGGGAAA